TAAAAATATGCAGCCCAATTCAAGGTCAATAAACTTCTCCAAAACTGTGGAATGTTAGCGAAAATAATTTTATATTTACCGGCATTCAACCCAATGCTAAATAATAATTTAATAATAAATATTATCTAAACTTCAATAAATTTAATGAATTTCATATTAAAAAATGTTAAAATGAATGTGTAATTATAAATAGGTACAAATAGGTACTCAAACTGTGGTACCAATGTAATTAATTAAAATTCATTTTTACGCAACTTGTATATGAAAAAAGGTAACCGATAATGCGGCCGAAGGTACCAAATGTACGAGCTAATCAGTGGACTGTATTTTTAAAAAGTTATCAAAATCGATAAATGGCAAAACCAATAAAGGATCGACTTACCCCGAAACTGCGTGGGTTTTATGCACTAAAATAATTGGTTCTGGTTTGATTGCCGGCAAAAATCGTTCTCATCTTTCGGACAGCGACAGCACATATTTTCGGCTACTACATCTCTCTGTCCTTATTTAATCAAGAGCGCACTCTTGCTCTCTTTTACGGTACCGCGCGAAGAGTCCATGGAAATGCCATTCTCACGCACAATTAATAATTGAAATTTACACTTCGAATTTAAGACATATATACAAGTTGCGTTTAAATTACCCAAATTACAATACGATAAAACGTAAGTCCCAAACATAGTCTATTAAAGAACTTAATTGCCCAATAGTTTGGGCCATTTTGACTCTTTTTCAGTCTGTAGAAAGGGACCAACAGACCATCCTTTTTTCGGTTCTCATACTGGTGGTAGGTACTATTCGTCATCAGGTTCTGTATATAGATACCAGGAAACGTGAGAATTCCCAGTCTAGAAAAAGCTTCCCTGCAATCAGGGACACTTTATCCGTTAGGACAATTAGGTCATGTCCTACGGGCCACTAGAGGATGGAAGGCCAACTGCTGGCGTTTGTGATTTCTGCAGAAATAGACCTAATATAAAATATATAAGCCCAATATATTAAAAACATCGACTTGTTCAGTAGCAGGACTAGTATGTGTTCCAATACTCTATAATTCACACTGCACAAGCACATTTGGTTTGGCCAGAGTGAACTGCCTGACGTCACGATGCTCTGGCATCGCTCCGCTCGCTTCATTGAGCATCAATCCATAACACACCCTTAAGTCACCGAGTTGCGCTGACTTGTCGTCGCGTCATAGCACAGCACGGGCACGTGGAAACCACTGGAAACTGGCAACGACTACAGCAGGAACCTGTTAGTGTTTGTGCTGCTTTACCAAATTGTAAGTTTCTTTGAGCTTCTTCTGGAGCACCTAGGGACTTTAGCAGTGTCTTAAGGGTCCAGTGTACCACGAAGTCGTGCCTTGTTGTTGTTGAGCTTGTAGGACATGCACAGGCAACGTGGTACGAATTTTCCTTAGAGTTGCAACCCTTTATGCATCTCTTCTTCGCTAATGTATTTGATCCCAAGCCATGCAGCTGTTCTTCCGAAGCACCCATCAGTACACTTTTAGTCTTCAGCATCCACATGTGGTGATTGGTAGGCTGGGAACTCAATGCCATCATTTTCATTTAGGACGTTCCTACCATATAGCATGCTTATTTATGACCATTCTTGTTCCATCATTTGGTAGTACCTTTCTTTGATTTTACTGGATACTACTTAGCAACATTTTTTGTCTTTATATTCTGGTAAGTAGTTTGAAATCGTCTGAATCATTTTATTTAACCCCATAAAAAAGAACAATCACTCATGAAATGCCATACCAAATAATTGACCTACGGGCCAGAGAAAGGTTAAAGCGTCACTGCCTGCAATCATATCTATACCCCAGCCCTACTATAACCCTAACTGCCCTGCGTTGCAACGCGATAATTCTGTCTGCTTGCGCAGCTCGCCTCCACACTATTACTACATATGACATGCACGAGTGACACAGTGCAAAGTAGGCCATTTTCAGTATTTGTCCCGAAACACTTCCCGATAGGTTTCTTAGAAGGTAAACACTTCTAGCAAGCCTAGCTGATAGTAGGTCAATATGAGGCTCCCAAGTCAATTTTGAATCTAAGGTTACCCCTAAAAACCTCACCGAGTCTCTAGTTATGGAATCATCAATCTCTCTCAAAGCAAAAATTATATTATTCGTTTTTGATTCGTTTAATACCAGACCATTACCATTAAACCATTGTTTTACATCCGACTGCACGCCACACGCCATTTCTCTCACTTCTTTCAAGTTTTTACCAGTAGTCATAAAAGTGGTGACATCAGCAAAGAGATTGAAGCTTACTGAAGGTATGTTCGGAATCGTTTGTATAAATGAGGAAAAGAAGCGGTCCGAGCACTGAACCCTGGGGCACCCCAGAGGTCAGCTCCAAACCCTCCGATTGTGCGTTTGCAACCCTGACAGTCTGATATCTATCACTGAGGTAGGATTTTATTAAGGCAATCCTTTTTCCACTAAGATTGTAAGTTGATAGTTTTCTCAGCAAAGGCTAGTGCGAGACAGTCAAATGCTTTACTTAGATCACAGAAAGTGGTACTGGTATATTCAAGGCTTTCAAAGGCTTTCAGAAATCAGAATTGATGATGTAAAGTTGATGATAACAGAAGTTGTGCTTTTTTCTTTCTTAAATCCATATTGAGCCTCATTAAAAAGGTTGTTTGTTTCAAAATGTTGCATTTCTCAAAAACTTTAGAAAACACTGGGAGGAGAGATACTGGTCTATAGTTTCCTTTTTCGTCCATGTTTCTCGACCACGCGGCCTTGGAAGGATTACTCGATGTGCCTATTAATCTGTCATTATACGACACTTTGGCTTTCTTTATTTCTTTTCTATGTTCACGTCGTAACTTATTTCGTTCTTGTAGCATGCCTGGACTAGGCGTTATTTTATACAAGTCATTACTGAGCTTAACTTGTTCCCTAAGACTTCTCAGATTAAGGTTGAACCAATTATAGTTATTGTGTTTAATCTTATTTATGTAGGTTTTTTCAGGGAAAGCGTCAACGAAGCATTTACTGATTTTATTCTGAAACAATGATGTTTTTGTATCCTCATCAATAACAAAGTTTGAACGATTTTAAAACATTTGTAATATCCAGATTTTGAGTTAGGTTCTTCAACTGTGAACTGTTGTATCATGTAAGTGCTGTCATCATAAGTTAACCTTGAATACGTCATTGACCATTGGCTAATTTACGAACGAAAATGGCCGTTTTGGGCAGGATGGCAGCCGCAGAAATTCCTGCACTATTTTCGACAGTTTTGCTTGTTAGTTGGAAGCATATTGGCATTCAATAATTGTGCTTAGAACTTTTTGTTATTTATATTGGCATTTGTCGAGCTTTCTATTATTAGTGTTGTTGCTAGAAGACGAGTGCTTGACTAGAGCTTCAAGGGCCGAAAACGTATCGTTAAAAACACCTGAGAGAGCGTTATACAGTTTTTTATAGAGCTCATTTCTCTTATTTTGAAAAACTGCAGTCGAAGCGTGACTCAGCTTGGAATTTTCATTTTTGAGACCTTTGATTTCCGAGATGTGGTTGTCACACAGTCAGAGTCAGAGTCAGTATGAATTGCTTCAAGTGAAACTACGTAGCCAAGAAAATCAACGCGATGTTGAAAGAGTGAGCATTTCTTGTCATTTAATCGGAGGTTTGCCTTACGGATACCAGTAAATACTTCTTGTAAGTTTTGTAAGTGCTCATCGAAAGTTTTTCCCACCACTAACCAGGTAGATAAAGCATACTTTTCACGTAAGTTCTTGTAGTACAATTTCCACCAACCTCTCAAAAGTAGCAGGAGCATTACAGAATCCAAAAGGCATTACCTGGAATTGGTAAAAGTTACTTCTTGTGGAGAACGCTGTCGGCTCTTTGTTTTTTTTGTTAATGCACCATCCGCTTTTCAAATTTAAAGTAGAAAATCAATTTGTGTCTGCCAATGTCATAAGAATCTGTGGTCATAAGGTTATGGTCAAATCGACGCAAAATCGGGTAGATCCATATTTTTTTTGTTACTAGTACAAATTGGTGATGACCATGGACTTGAAGGCTCTTCAACATTTCCCTTTGCCGACATACTGTCTACTAATTACTCCACTTCTTGTTGTCTGGTTATGGAAAGTCTTCTAAGTGGTTGACAAATCGGATGAGCATTGGTTTCATGCTTGCGACTTACCAGTTTCGCCATTTTTCTCACAAAGAAACTGTCCAGCCTTTTCTAGTTCTGTAGAGGAAAGATGTTGCGAATTGTCTTGGAATGTAGCTGGATGATTTTTTTTTCTTTGATGTTCTTCATCTTCATACTTTGAAATCGCTATGATAGACTCATAGTTGGCTATGGCATCGCCCTTATTGATTTGAATAGTGTTGTGTCAGAAGTTGGCCATTCGGCATGGTATAATTCCTTGTCAGTTTACCAAAGTTTCTCTAATGAGGTATTTATGGTAAGTTTGGTGTGGTTGTACAAGTCCAATGCAGTGCCCAGAATCATTCTTCAACTGTTCACATATAATTTGTTCGCTGTTGCCTTTCATTTTCTCAGCTCGTGTAGCTTTTACAGAGACAAACTTTGGACCCTTGGGTTTGGACAGTACAAACTCTTCAGTGCCAAATTTCAGGATGTTGAGCTAGTTGTGGAATGCAAAACCATTTTGACTGATTAAGTCTATGCCCAAAGTAAACTCATCCTCCATAATTTATATTGTTTCTATACTTAGACAGACCTTCTTTGTTATATGGGACAATTTCGGTCTCTGGCTGAATGGTTTACTTCTCCCAATTTAATTTTTATGATAATTTAGGCATGTGAGATTTGCTCCTTCACAGTCGGCTATTGGATGGTCTTTTCCACATTTTACACACCAGATAGAAGAAACCCAATTAATATTCAAACATTTAAAACACAGCTATTTAAATGATACTGTCTTCTATTTTATTAATTATTATTTATTTAACTTATAAAGTATAAATTATTTCTGTTTTGTTCCAGGTATGTTCTAGAAGGATACAACGCCCTCTCGTGGTTAGCTCTAGATTCGAACACGAAAGACCGTCTCTCTTGTCTGCCGGTCCACATGCAGGTTCTCGTACAATTGTACCACACAGCCGCTGCCCTATTGTAAACCACTGTGTTGCTAGGCAGTCGCGCACTTATAGGCCAATTTTTGTACATTACCAAAATTGATTATTTTTTTTATCTTGAGTATAATGCACAAAAGAAGATCTCTTGAAATTGATCTCCCTTAAAAAAAAAACGATTTTTGAAAGAAAATACTCATTGATATTGTGTGTGTAAATATATATATATATATTTTTTTTAATTTATTTTGTCCCTCACAAAACTTATTACCGTCTTTTTTTTTTTTTCTTAATTTGTACAAAAAAGAAAATTGTGATATTATTATTATAATTTAAGTATGTGTGTATAAATACAAGTTATTATGTAATATATTATTATAAAATGAATCGCCGAAATAATATTATATAATATATTTTTTAAAACTGCCAAGTTGACACAGCGTTTTACAAAAAAGGTAAAGCAAAAATTAGGTTAGTGATCATGTGCTTCTTTCTTTTAAATTATTATCTCACAGTGTTATTGTTTTGTTTTATATTTTTTTGTTATTTGTTTGAAATGTTTTATACGAAAAACGACAAGGAAAGTCTTACCAAAAATACTAGATACGCACACATACACTTTTTCTCTTCCACTCATTTTTGATAAGAATTTTTTTTTTTTTTTGGCTCTCATAATTTAAATCATTTTTTTCTTAAATCTAATAGTTAGTTGTGGTATCCTATACAGGGTGTCCAGATAATAGCGTAAAAACACTATGTAGTGGAGGACCCTGTTGTCGGATCAATTTTTTCCCGTTGTAATTTAGAGATTTTGCAATTTTACTCAAAGGATCATCTACTACATAGTTTTTATGCTATTTTTCGGACAACCTGTATAAAGTGTATTGTATGTGTATTTATTTTTTGTTAAAAAGAATGTAAATAAGACAAGTAGTGTGCAAAAACACAAGAAGAGGAAAACAAACAAAAAAAAAATAACCATAGACTGAAACAGTTATTTTTTTGTTTTAATTTCATAGCTAAACAACAAGGAATAATTATGGTTTATTTAGCAAAAATAATCAAATTTTGTAAATAATTGAATCAAAAAAAGTAGCGAGATTTACTACATTAACTACTGCTAGAAAAATGTACTGGGAATGGAAAAATATTTACGAAAAATCATCTATTATTAAGGGAAATCGTTATCGATACATGTATCTGAGATTTGTATCCATGTTTCAACTTCTCCTACATGTTGAAATGAGCTCAGAAAACATCAGTTATTATGAAATATGTTATGCTTCTTGACTTCCTGAACATAAGTTCTCGTAGGCCCAAAAAGATCCTATGATTAGTTTCGGAGATACAGGACCGATAAAAAAAAAGTAGTACAAGAACAATCTCCAGAATCTGCTGGTACATTAGTTTAATTCATAACCAAAAATGACATATTTTTGGCATAACTATCTGCAAGATAAATTTACCGTTCTCTAATTCTATTAGTCGGGGGATAACTGGTTGACCAATGGGATTACAGATTGCTATTTCATCTGTCACATTTTAACTGTTACTGAAAAGCCACCATAATTCTCAACCCTCTAATTGTAAAATTGCAAACATCCCCACATACATTTTTCTTGCAGTAGCCAAAACTATTTTATCAGTAAAAATTACTCTTCGTCTATTGAATGTCTTTTTTTGTTCCAAATAAGTAGAAACTCCGAGTGAAATGTTCTAAATTTTAAGAGTAACCTGGGGCCAAAAAGTTAAATAGTAAGGGTTGCCTCAGAAAACTAAAAAGCAGCTAAAACGTTGTGAAAATCGCAAAAAATTGCGTCAATTAAAATAAACAAATTTTTTGTCTCACTCGGGCGTTAAGTGTTAAATTATTGATAATCAAATATTGTCTATTCACGATCTGTAGTCTAAAGGTACAGGTAAAATTTATCACTTTTTAATGCTATTTGATATGGAAAGGTGATAAATTTACCTGTACTTTTAGACTACAGATTGTGAATAGGATATACATAATAATATTCTAAAAGTTATTTTTTGTTTATTTTATTTGTTTGGCAGTATTTTTTTTTTTACCTCTCTTGTACTGTATAAATTATTTTTTCCTGTACGATTTTTTTGTCTATATGCATATAACTATTTATATACCTACTTAATTGTTTATTTTTAACACTTTATAAATAATTATTTTTTATTAAATTATATTTAGGATTGTTTTATTTTTTTTTTATTAGAAATAATTGAATATTATTTTTTTTTTTTGTAAATAATATAGTAATAATTGTTGTATAAGAATATGTCAATTTTTAGGGAATTGGGGAATATAAAGTTAGTTAAATAAATTGTACATAATTTTATTGACATTAGTTGAATTTAGTGAAATACACAGGAAATGTTAATAACTTTATAAATAATTATATACGTATTAATTAGGTATTATTAATAAACCACTCTATGAGTATAATTTTAGAATTTTATTTTTTTCACAAAATTCCTGTATGAAATTTCGAGTTGTTGTATTTGAAAAAGGGTTTTTGGTGTATTCACGTTTCTGAGGTATATGAGTACATTTATTTTTCGAACAATTTTCCATTCGAACCATTTCCCATTCGAACAATTTTTCTTTCGAACAATTTTCCATTCTAACAATTTTCCTATCAAACAATTTTCCGTTCGAACAATTTTCCGTTCGAACAATTTTCCGGGGATTCGACTAAATTTTGAATTTAGACAGCGGTATAGTGTTTTAATAAAATTCAAAACTATTTTAGGTATATTTTTTTATTACATTGAAAAATATACAAGATGCGAATAATTCGCCTTAATTGTTTATATTAAATAGGATTCAAGAATAAATAAACATAAACATTATTAATAATTAAATACTGAACAATACAAGAAAAATATTGTTTAACTACTACCTCCTCTCTCACTTTTTTTGTCATTTTTAAAGTAACTTACTACTAAAAAAGTCTTAGGTATACATATAATATGCGAGATTACAAGAAACAATTAAAAAGTAATAAGATTTCCAACTTCGTTGTCTTCTTTATCGCGTTGCTGGCGTTTCCAAATGTTGAAATCTTGAAGAATCGGCCTCCCGTAAGAATTGTGCAATTCCCTAAAAGTGATGGTGGTTTTTGGTTGGGGAGCCGCTGGGCTGGGTTCCGAAAATCTTGACGGATCGCCTAAAAATCAAAGACGATTTCATTTTTTCATTTCAACTAAAAATTACTTACCACTGGTATTGACCGGATTCCTTTGACTTTGAGGCCTAGGAGGAACAGCGTTTTCGGTTTTGTTGAATGGATTGTGTCTGGTCCTTGGGGGTGCTATTGGTACATTTTGCACTGGTAACGGAGTCTCTAAAGTGACATAAAATTTACTTTGGCCATTTTTGTAATAATAATTATCAATCGGATGTTCCATGCTTTAATTCAATATACTATTATACACTAAATAACTTCTCCCTGGTCCAATGACATGACGAATATGTAGTGTAAGTTAAAGTGGATGTTGCTCAGTCTTTTGGTTATTTAGAGCTATACCTAAAAGAAATATATTTTTGGATCTCACCTTTACAAACGATGCAAGTGCAAGATATAGTCGTAGCTAGTGAATTACTTTTTGATAATAGTTTGCATCATCTTAGTCATGGAGTTGTTATAAGGATCTTAGATGGAGAGTGTGTCAATGCATTGCAAATTGCAAGGATTTCTACGACTGTAAAATGCTAACTTCTTCAACAACTTTTTAGCTGGTGTTGACTAGAAGCAGTGCTTGCAAAATTTGGATATGAATATAGCTTTAGATACATTTATGAGACTTTGGATGTAAGTGGGTATCGCTTATTTTGTACCTATCAGAAAGTACAAGTCTGGCTCTTTTCCTACATGGTTCTCTTCAGAGTTGAAATATATTTCTGTATTGATTCTAAATGCCTACATATTGGCCAGAATAACCCTAAATTGAATTACTTTTTTGAACAGTTTCAAATAACACCTGTCATACAACAGAGAGATCTAGAAATCACTGTAACCCGACTTGAAATGGGAAACTCACATCACGCAAATGACCAAAAAAGCCTAAATGATTTACCTCATACAAAAATCATTTAAACACCTCTCCAAAGATATGATACTAAAGCTACATAAATCATATGTCAAACCAAGAGTGGAATATGCACAAACTATTTGGAATCCTATGCTAAAGACATAGAGCAAATTGAGAGAGTACAACGAAGAATAACTAAGCTGCCTCCAGACCTTCATGAACTGCCCTATGAGGAACGATTAACCCAGCTAGACCTAACCACCCTAAAAGATAGAAGAATGAGGGGAGATCTCATTGAAAATTTTAAAATAATGAATGGGCACTATGCATGCGACTTAACAGAGATCTGCCACCTCAACCAAAACACCAATCTCAGAGAACACAATCTAAAGCTCTGCAAGGAGAAATGTAACAAGCTAATGAGAAGAAACTTTCTAACAAACAGGGTGGTTTATCTCTGGAACAGTCTTGATAACAACACTGTCACGTCAACAACAAAAAACCAGTTCAATAACTGTTTAGACCAAGAAATGGAGAATCAAAGCACAACGTTTTTTGTGCACTATACCTTATGAGGCAACCAAGTTTCAGGAGGACTATTAAGACCGCAGAGGCTCTTTTGGCAAGAGTAATGCATAACTTCCAACAAATCTCTAATCTTTAAACAACTCAAATAGATTTAGCAGTTTCATCAGATTTATTCCGTCTACTGCAGATACCCCTATTAATAATAATAATAATAATAATCTTACAATTCAAAAAAAAAAAAAAAAAACATAGAACCTATGTTGTATGCAGTACTTAACAACCTACGTTGAAAAAATTGTATGAATTAGTTGATAGCTAAATGAAGGACTTATATACGGGGTGTCCACTTATTGCGATATCGGACGATATATACTTACAGGGTGATGCAAGAAAAAAAAAATTAAATTAGAAAGTTGTTTGGGCCGGCACGTTGGTTCTTGATCAAGGACGTGAGAGACGGCCTACTCAAGCCAAGCAACGCGGTGTCGGGTTGGAGATTGGATGGGTGACCGCAGTAGTACGGGATGGTGGGTCGACTGCGCTGCCGCCAATCATCTGATCTCCAAGTATGAATGAGAAGGAGTAAAGCCCATACGAATGACATACAAAAAGCCTATAAAGGCTGCAGTGTAGAGTATGGGCTCGAAAGGGTGAAACCAAAAAAAAAAAAAAAAGTTGTTTGGGGCCAGTTTCACAAACAATGGTAACCCAACAGTAACCACAAGACAAGACACTGATAACCTACAATATATCTGTTTCATAATGTGTGGTTTAGCTAAAACCATTGATCAACCTTCAGAGTATTCAATGTAGTCAACCCGTAACTATGGATTTGATAACCAGTGCAGGGTACCACAAATTGTGAAACTGCGCCTGAATAAGTACTGTAGTCCAATAAATTTTCACCATCTCGAAATATTTAATATAAGTTAGTTTTAAGATTGAAAATGTATTGAGTAGTAATGCAATTTATTTTTGCATAACAAGTCCCGTAATTGAATAAATAAATAAAATAAATTTGCATTAGCCGGCCCAGCTCACGAATTTTGTATACCGTGTCGTTTGTGCTGCCCTGTATGGATTGCATCACATGTGTCTCCAATGTGCACAAGAGATTATGCAAAAAAAAATCGAAAAACTCAGACATTGGTATAGTAGATAAATTGATCAAAGAATGTTTCATGTTCGGAAATAATTAAAGCTGTTTAACAAGAACTGTCTTTAGAGATCGTGAACCAAGCTATAGGAAACTATGGATAGCAAAATGCTCGGATCGAAAACCAGATCAAGGAAACATCAAGTAGGAAAACCAATGAAATCACAGAATTTTTCCAAAACTTCGAAGAGCAAACTAATAGTATATTCTTCAACGAGCATAAAATGACTCGAATGATTTTAATACTCGCTTTCGGCTCGTGTTTAAATTTTTATTCTTTTTTGCATATCAATCAAGTGGTATCAAGGCTGAATCACTTTTTTGTCTCTGGCTTTACTCCTAATACACAGGAAGAAGAAATCCTCAATTTTGTAAGACAAATTGCCTCAAATGAAACATATGAGTGTGAAAAACTACTGTTCAATCACAGCAACAGAGTGGAATCATTTAAAGTAGGTATCCGTTTCTACTTGAAAAATGATTTTCTAAACCAGCAAAGGTATTCTGGTGAGTGATTTTTTTAGAGAAACTTGTAAGCCATTACAATACACATACAAGCTTGATAAAGAATATTGATAACATTTCATTTGCTATTTATTGTCATAAACCATTAATAGTTTGTCTATCAGAAACTTATGTACGAATGAGATTAGTCAACATGAAATCTCAATTAACGGGTATGACTCATGACATAGTAGTATGTAGTACAGGGTGGCCCAAATTCGAGCCTCATCATTGGGACCTCGGTAACCGTAAGAAATACGGGGTCAGTTAAGTTATGGCAAAGTTGCGCAATTTTATGACCAATAGAATGCCGTTTTGAAACTAGAAAGATTCCGAATACTTCCAGAGATATTCAGAAAAAACCGAAAATTTGTAAAATCGTTTTTATTTTTTCCCGGGCTTATTTGAAAAGCAATTTTAAAATAAATGTCACTTCATCATTATCACTTTTTCCCCTTTAGAAGATGGTGCTACTAAATTTAAAATTCGACGTTTCGTCTTCAGGCGGCCATCCTCAACTTCCTTTTTTTAAATACGGACCTGGATTTTTTATTTGCGATTTTTTCATCTTTGGGCATCCTAAAACCGATACTGTTTATAATTTTTTACTAAAAAAGTAAAAAGTTTAGAAAAAATAAATTGATGATGATTCCAGAGAAACGAAACGTTGGATTTTAAATTTAATACCGCCATCTTGTAGAGAAGAAAAAGTGACAATGGGAATGTAAAATTAGTTTTTCACAATCTTTTTTAAAAAAAAATCAGGAAAAAATGAAAACTATACGAAAAAAACATGAATTCTTCGTTTTTATTAAATTTTTTCCTGATTCCATTTAAAAAGATTTGTCACTTTTTCTTCTTTACAAGATAGCGGTATCAAATTTAAAATCCAACGTTTCGTTCTTCTGGAATCATCATCAATTAATTTTTTTTAAATACAAACCTGCTTTTTTTACAGTGTTATTGAAAAATTATGAACAGTATCGGTTTTAGGATGCCCAAAGATGACAAAATCGCAAATAAAAAATCCCGGTCCGTATTTAAAAAAAGGAAGTTGAGGATGGCCGTCTGAAGACGAAACGTCAAATTTTAAATTTAGTAGCACCATCTTCTAAAGGGGAAAAAGTAAAAATGAAGTGACATTCATTTTAAAATTGCTCTTCAAATAAGCCCAGAAAAAAAATAAAAATGATTTTACAAAATTTCGGTTTTTTCCGAAAATCTCCGAAGTATTCGGAATTTTTCTAGTTTCAAAACGGCATTCTATTGGTCATAAAATTGCGCAACTTTGCCATAATTTAACCGACCTCGTATCTCTTACGGTTACCGAGATCCCGATGATGAGGCTCGAATTTGGGCCACCCTGTACAGGGTATCCCAAATTCGAGGGTGACCATTAAGATATCGGAAACTATAAGAGATACGAGGTCAGTTAAATTATGACAAAGTTGCACAATTTTATGACCAATAAAATGCCGTTTTGAAATTTTGCAAAATCATTTTTATTTTTTTCTAAGTCTATTTGAAGAGTAATTTGAAAATGAATGTAATTTCATCATTGTCACTTTTTCCCCTATGTTGATACCAAATTTCAAATTCGACGTTTCGTCTTTGGGCGGCCATCATTGACTTTATTTTTTTAAATGCGGATCCTTATTTTTTATTTTAGATTTTATGAGCCTCTGATGTCCCAAAATCTATGACGTATCAGAATCAGAGTACAAAACTAACATATTTCAGTGACGCCTCTCTCTGAACGCCCCCAATACAGCTACAGTAGTGTCGCGATAATCCGATCCCGCGATAATCCGTATGCTTCTGTAATCCACATCGCATTTTCATTCCCTTGATGTACTCTGCAATCCGGAGTTTACTTGATTTAGTAATCCGAATTCATTTACAAGACTGTTGAAAATAAAAACACAGGTTTTCACTTGTCGTTTTGTAACTGCGTTCAAGTGGATAGATAGTTTTTACATGTCTACACGCATCATTCAATATGCAGCGTCCTTCCTTACTGTGTGGGCTTTTTCAAAGAAAATGGCACCTATTAAACGCAAACACAAAATTAAGTCTCAACGAAAAATCAGCGATTATAGACGAGCTGACACGCAGAGTTAGTGGCAAATATTTAGCTGTTAAGTATGGAGTTGGGGCTTCGACCATCAGCGGCATTAAGAAAAAGCGGACTGTAAAATGCCTTAGTAATCCAAATAATTTGATAATCCGGATTGGTCTGGTTTTAATTGATCCGGTTTATCGCGACACTACTGTATTGATAAAAAAATAAGATAGTGCTGATAATGGACAGCAATCATTTTGAAGATGTTTACCTTCAATGTCGTCCAATTGCCTTTGCAATTCAGCCACCATCAATTTCATATAATCGTAGCTGGAGCACGCTAGAGCCTTCATCCACTGCTCCATTGTTTCCTGCGATTCCGCCCCCAAAACGTAAATCCTGTTGTTGGCGCCGTGGAAAAGAATTTTGAAGCAAAACTGATCTTCCTCTTCGGCCAATTCTATTTAAAAACAAAGAACATTTTGGGACTGGGAATAATATTACTCTTGAATCTTACCTATGGTGCATCCCTCCAAGATTATCACCCCCAAAGGCTCTTTGTCGCCTTTTTTATCGAAATAAAACAGCAAGTTGCCTTTGAGGACGAAGTACCGCCTCTGGAAGTTTTTGTTCACTTCGCCCCTTTTGTTCAGGAAGCCTTCTTTGTCTACCGGGGTGGCCGACACCGCATAAGCACACAAATTCTTCTCGTTGATTTTCATTTTAATGATAATTTAGTATTTGAATTGGGGAAATTTTTAAATGAAAATTGGCTCAAACTCAAAATAATAGAATGGATATGACTATGACTACGACTGACTAATTTGTGACTAATGAGATGTGGGGTTATAGTGTTGTCAAAACAAAAAATTCAATATGGCGCGGCGGCCAGCAAGTTTGTTTTGAGTATGTGTTTGGATGAATATTAATTTGAATTATTTTGCTTCGAGTCATTGGCGTAGCCAGGATTTTGTCTTGTGGGGGGGGGGGGGGGGCAAATTTGCAGGAAGTGTTTCTTGCGGCCCCACCGCGATCCTTTTTTAGGTTTGTTTACGCTATTTTTGGGACTGTTTATTTTAATTATGAAGAATAGGGAATTCTCATAAGAAATAAATATGGCTTAGGTATTTTGTTTTTATGGTGCACACCTTTGTGTAAAAGATTGAATATGAGCAGTTTTGTTATAGTCATATGACAATTATTAGTTTTAAATTGAAAAGTTTCGCGCGGAAAAGTTACGTTTAACATGGCCGCTTCCAGTGACGTCAACTGTTCGTAAACTAAGGTTAAGGGTAGTTTACACTGATCGTAAATCCACGGTCCACACTTTCGTGGTTCACTCTTGAATCGTGGAACGATTAGTCCACGATCAGCTCACGTCACGCCACGACTGATATTGAACCACCATAAACGGGTCTATAGAGGGAAGATTGTCAGACTGCGCTTCTGTAAATCCTGTATCAACCATGATGAACTATTTGCAACACAAAATGTCACAATATGTCATTAAATACGGAAATACCTCATAAATAACCGCTTTCAAGTTCCAATGCAGTCGAAGGTTCGCTATAAGCGATTCTTTCCGACAGTTTGCAAAGTGTCAAAGGCTCTTGTGAGAACAGACCTTAACGTTGTGTTTACAGACAGTTGACGTCACAAATTTCACCATCTTCGCGCCAACGAAAATCATTTGAAATTCAAAATAATTTTTTTCTACGAGCATGCGGGAAATGGCTCTTCCCGCACGATTTGCTGTGCGGAAAGACTTTCTTCCCGGAAGAGTATGAAATAATCATTGTGACATGGAATTGTTTGTATTGTTGATACACCTATACCTGTACCTTTACCTTTTTATAAATACCTTTTAATACATTTTTAATTCTACCTTCTGCATAATCGCGTTTTATTTAAATTGAACTCTTCGTAACATCAGCTTTATAGTATGCTCGTAGAAAAAATATAGTTCCTAACTCTTGCGGGAAGAAATTTCCTGCACTCGGGCGCTTCGCACCCTCGTGCCGGAAATTTCTCTTCCCGCACTCGTTAGGAAAATAGCTATTTTATTTCAATGAGGACATAAAACAAAAAAAAAACATATACATTTTATATTTGAAAACATAGGCAATAAGAAAAAAAAATGCTTTGAAAAATATGATTGTTCCCTATTATACAGGGTATCCCAATAGAACCGGAACGGTCAAATATCTCAGCAACGGCGTGACATAACGGTATAAAATTTGGTATACGGGGGTTTTTAATAGTGCCGGATCTGAAAATAATATTTGCAACGTTGCCGGTTTTATAGTTTTTCCGATAAATCTCTCAACTTTATTTTTTTAAATGCAAATGCTACAGTAATTTTTTTCTCAAAATGTTGGTCAAACCAAAGTGTTTCAATCCCAAAATATCAAATTTATCTTTCGTGGTTTTTAAAAGACATGGCAATACTGCATTTCCATTTAAAAGAACTGGAATGGTAAAATATTTTAACAACGGCTTAATACAACGGTATGTCATTTGGTATGCAGGGGTTTTTGAAAGTGCCGGATCTAAAAATAATATTTGCAACGTTGTCAGTTTTACAGTTTTCCGATGGATCTCTCAACCTTAGTTTCTTAAGTGCAAAAGCTATGGTAGTTTTTCATTTAAAAGAACTGGAATGGTAAAATATTTTAACAACGGCTTAATACAACGGTATGTCATTTGGTATGCAGGGGTTTTTGAAAGTGCCGGATCCAAAAATAATATTTGCAACGTTGTCAGTTTTACAGTTTTCCGATGGATCTCTCAACCTTAGTTTCTTAAGTGCAAAAGCTATGGTAGTTTTTCATTTAAAAGAACTGGAATGGTAAAATATTTTAACAACGGCTTAATACAACGGTATGTCATTTGGTATGCAGGGGTTTTTGAAAGTGCCGGATCTAAAAATAATATTTGCAACGTTGTCAGTTTTACAGTTTTCCGATGGATCTCTCAACCTTAGTTTCTTAAGTGCAAAAGCTATGGTAGTTTTTCATTTAAAAGAACTGGAATGGTAAAATATTTTAACAACGGCTTAATACAACGGTATGTCATTTGGTATGCAGGGGTTTTTGAAAGTGCCGGATCTAAAAATAATATTTGCAACGTTGTCAGTTTTACAGTTTTCCGATGGATCTCTCAACCTTAGTTTCTTAAGTGCAAAGCTATGGTAGTTTTTCATTTAAAAGAACTGGAATGGTAAAATATTTTAACAACGGCTTAATACAACGGTATGTCATTTGGTATGCAGGGGTTTTTGAAAGTGCCGGATCCAAAAATAATATTTGCAACGTTGTCAGTTTTACAGTTTTCCGATGGATCTCTCAACCTTAGTTTCTTAAGTGCAAAAGCTATGGTAGTTTTTCATTTAAAAGAACTGGAATGGTAAAATATTTTAACAACGGCTTAATACAACGGTATGTCATTTGGTATGCAGGGGTTTTTGAAAGTGCCGGATCTAAAAATAATATTTGCAACGTTGTCAGTTTTACAGTTTTCCGATGGATCTCTCAACCTTAGTTTCTTAAGTGCAAAAGCTATGGTAGTTTTTCATTTAAAAGAACTGGAATGGTAAAATATTTTAACAACGGCTTAATACAACGGTATGTCATTTGGTATGCAGGGGTTTTTGAAAGTGCCGGATCTAAAAATAATATTTGCAACGTTGTCAGTTTTACAGTTTTCCGATGGATCTCTCAACCTTAGTTTCTTAAGTGCAAAGCTATGGTAGTTTTTCATTTAAAAGAACTGGAATGGTAAAATATTTTAACAACGGCTTAATACAACGGTATGTCATTTGGTATGCAGGGGTTTTTGAAAGTGCCGGATCTAAAAATAATATTTGCAACGTTGCCAGTTTTACAGTTTTTCAGATAAATCTTTTAAATTAAATGCGTCGCTATGGTAGTTTTTCATTAAAAATGTTGGACAAACCAAAGTCTAAATTATTAAATTTTTCTTCTTCGAATTTTTAAAAATATGGCAATAATGCATTTTCATTTGAAAGAACTGGAACGGAGAAATATCTCACCAACGGCGTAACATAACGTACCTAATATTATTAGAAATTATTTACTTGAGTGTTTAAGGGCCGATATTATAAAACACTGAACCGATGGTTGAGTTTCAACCTTCGGTTGAATCCTATCAATTTGCATTGAGTCGACTGAAGGTTGAAACTCAATTATCGGTTCAGTGTTTTATAATACCGGCCATAAATAATGGACCCACTGATCTAAAAAATAAATAGATAAACAAAGAACGCTTCTAATGCTGCTAATTTACGAGGTCATAATGGAAACAACTGGGACAGCTGTGAGCGTGCGCAGTAGATACATGTGCTGTGCGTGCGCAAAATATAGCCAATGAAAATGAAGGATATTTGAAAATTTAGAACAGTTGTTCGAAAGTAAGACACTGCGCAGGTGTTAGGCTGTTCCGTTGTAGAATTGTTCGTAGAAAATACATTATTGCCATATCTTTTAAAATGCGAAAAAGAAAAATTTAATAATCTAGACCTAAAAACATTCTGGTTTGACCAACATTTTAAATGAAAAACTACCATAGCTTTGCACTTAAGAAACTAAGGTTGAGAGATCCATCGGAAAACTGTAACACTGACAACGTTGCAAATATTATTTTTAGATCTGGCACTTTTAAAACCCCCTGTATACAAAATGTCATAACGGCGTATTAAGCTGTTGCTTAGATATTTTACCATTTCAGTTTTTTTAAATGAAAATGCGGTATTGCCATACCACACAAGAAAAATTTGATATTTTAGGATTGTAAACACTTTGGTTTGACCAACATTTTAAATAAAAAACTACCATAGTTTTGCATTGAAAAAACTAAAGTTGGAGAGATTTATCGGCAAAACTGTAGAACTGGCAACGTTGCAAATATTATTTTTAGATCCGGCACTTAAAAACCCCTGTATACCAAATATCATAACGTTGTATTAAGCCGTTGCTAACTGTATTTTACCATTTCAGTTCTTTCAAATGAAAATGCAGTCTTGCCATATCTTTTAAAAACCACGAAAGAAAAATTTGATATTTTGGGATTGAAAACACTGAAAGAAAAATTACCGTAGCTTAGCATTTAAAAAAATAAAGTTGTGAGATTTATCGGAAAAACTATAAAACCGGCAACGCTGCAAATATCATTTTCAGATCCGGCACTATTAAGAACCCCTGTATACCAAATTTTATACCGTTATGTCACGCCGTTGCCGAGATATTTCACCGTTCCGGTTCTTTTGGGATACCCTGTATATAAAATTTAAAGGTCTTGGGGGGCAAATGCCCCCTTGTACCACCCCAGGCTACGCCAGTGAGTTTTATTATATCTCGAATGGACTCGGGACAAAAGCAATATTTAATATTTTAAAGAATAATTACTTCAAAAACTTATTAAAATTGCTAAAATAAAATCTGAACAGGATTAGGTAAAAACCCATTGATTGCAACGGCAGAAGCGAAATAAATATTTTTTTGTTTTTTGGTCTGTTTGTGGCCGCCACGCCATGTTGAATGGCCAAACATTGACCTAACCTAACTTTATTGTTTTGTTCATGTATGCTATTAAAATTCATATAAACAAATAAAAATAATAACAAAACAAACAAAAACAAATCCTGATCCTGAAAAAAATGAGCCTCATAGTGTTTGTTATAACGTTTGCAGTGATAATTTACAGTATATCTTGGTAAGTAAACTAAATGTAATCGTCCTTCAAAACAGAAATCATTATAATCAAAATTGAAATGACAAAATACTACATAGAGAATAGATAATTCGTTCCGTTGAACTTTTCAAAGAATTGCGATAATAAAGCAAGATAGTTATTTACTCGACAAATGCGGAAAGTAACACTTTGCAGTCTACTTTACCGCACACTATTCCTTTGGAATACTCAGTTGATATCCTACATAATGCAGAAACTTTTTTTGGGCTTTCTCAATTTCATCAATCTATTGTATATAATAGGGAGACCATACAGGACAAGCATATTCAGTGACAAATATGGCTACTACAGGGTTAACATTTTTCAATTATTATGTGATTCAAAACTTGCAGAAGACTAATGACAAATCCGAGCAATTCAATTGACCTATTTTTTAGGTATTCTATGTGAGGTACGAATGTGAATTCTTCATTTATCATTACCAACTCATTAGACCGACACCACATAGCAAAGCTTTGTAGGTCTTCTTGAAGTTTTATACAATCACTTTCACAAAGAATATCCTTAAAAATCTTGTCTGTATACAATAACATTTGGATGAAACAAAGACAATCCTGCAGATTATTTATAAAATGGGGTTGAATGCTGTGTGCACGTTAAGCAATTAAGCAAAGGAAGGTTTTGTATATCGTGCAAATTTTATTAAGAAAAATCAGTGCAGAGCGCTTTCGGCCTTAGGCCATCATCAGTGCCACTTCGTCAGGTGTATATAAAAGAACTTGGTTTAAAAACAACGGTGCACATGGTTACATAAGGTCACAAACTAATCAATAACATGGATTGACTGAACAATTTAAAATTTATCAAAAAACCGAACTAAAATATTCGGGGGATGAACTATTTTTATAATTTTCTCAAGGAGGAATCCATCCTTTCAATTTTCCTTTTTGGAAATTAATAAATTCAACTCAAAAACAGACATCTAGACACTGATGATGGCCTAAGGCCGAAAGCGCTCTACACTGATTTTTCTTAATAAAATTTGCACGATATACAAAACCTTCCTTTGCTGATCACATTGAACATGGTTATCACATTGAACATGGTTATAACACTCGAAATTTAGATGTTAGATATCCTATACATAGATTAACGTTAACAGAAAAATGTCCACACTACATGTGCCTTAGATTGTATAATAAACTCCCTGATAGTGTCAAGAGAATTGAACAACAGCAACTCTTCAAGAAAGAAGTGAAGAGACTCTTAATAGACTTGGAGCCCTATAATTTAATAGACTTTTATAATGGTGTTTAGAAAGCTAGATATAATTTCTTTTTTGTTTGACGACGTTTCACTTTGTGTTACCATGTAAACAATGTTGAAATAAATAAATTAAAAAAAAAAAAAAAAAAAAAAAAAAAAAAAAAAAAAAAAAATTATAAAGCAGACGATAGATGGTTCCCTGAGGCACAACCGATGATACATTTATTATTGATGACAAATTTTTTAAAAACTCTTACAACCTGCGTTTGACCAGATAAATAAATAACTCAGTGGCGTAGCAAGGTTGGACGGGGCCCCAGTGCAAATAAATTGCAGAGGCCCCCCAGAAAATAATTCCTGAGTGAGATTATTCCTCAAAATTTTTAATTTACTAAAAGAGCGTTCAACAGTGACAACTTTCATCGGCAAAAATAATAAGAATGCCATATTCACTTGAGTTAAGTCACTTTCTAATATTCCAAATTTTTCAAGTATTAATTCAAAATATTGCCTGACGCTCTTGAGTCGTTCAGATGGTCCTTGGCTGAAGTAATAAGGTCAACATATTGGGGTATTAGAGAATGACTGACTAAATCAGAGTACTTGATACACAATTTTTTTCATTTTTCAATGATTGTCGATTCAGAAGAAGTAAGAATAATATTTGGTTGTGGATAGTCAAAATAATCTTTAACATAATATTCCATTCCAACCTGTGTAATAGTTTACCAACTTCTTCGTCAATTACACGATAATAAATAGTCACTTTAAATTTGGTTCCACAGCTCTCAAATCTGTGGTTGTTCGCGAGTTCATCGAAATTTTTTTTTATTATGTCGCACTTGCGTTTTCTCTGGAAACACTGGATTAATATTCCACTTTCTTGCTAATTCCAATGCTTCACCTATAATTTCTTTGTAGGAATCTCTTAGCTTTAATACATTATTTCGAAGTTCTTTTAAAACTCTTCCCCTGTGAGTTTTCGCTAGTAGATATATTTCGTAGAAATTTTTGCGCTTTTACCAGGGCACCGAATTGGCCTACGATAGCTACGCCACTGAAATAACTGCTCAACACGAATCGAGTTTTATTATTCTAATAAAATAATACTTGATTAGGCTCGGTGGTATGAGTTCTGGATTTTTTGCTGTCGTTTCGGTACCAAATCTGCTACCGTTGTCGAAGCTTAGGGGATTGAAAACCTAAAAAATAAAAAAGGCAGAAAATTGTTCGGTTTTTTCGTAAATTTGTTTGAATACTCGAATTTGAGTTATCAATCAATTTCAATTGAGGTGTAAGTCCCAAAAAATGCAAGGTAATATTATAAATCCACCTCAAGCATACAGACATTTGTTATAAATTTATTATTATTATGTTATAGCTTTTGGAAGTTTATAAATTCTAGATCTAGGAAACCAGGATGTGTTACTTATAACAGAAGCCTTTGCACCTCACTTTGCACATTACTTTGCATCAGTTTATAAATCTCAGTCACCCACTTTGATATGCAAAATCTGAGGGAAAATCATTTGTAATGGGGTAACTTTTTATTCTCATCCATATCTGAAAATACAGTCAAAGATGCCATAAAAAAATTACTTAAAACCTCGAATAAAAGCCAAAAAATCTACAGGTGAAGATAGTATTCCGCCTTATATCTATAAGGAATGCTTTGATATCCTAGCAGCCCCATTGACACATATTTTTAATACTTACCTCCAAAATAGATCTTTCCCACTGTGATAATATTATGATTACTGTACATAATACTATAGTGGCACTGCAGCATGGTTTCCTCGATGATTTCCTTTGTGTTAAATCAACAGTAGCCAACCTTTCTGTATTTACATTTTGTTATGATCGTGATGAATAACTCAAAAAATGGACTGTATGAAAATGATTCACTGGAAAACTGGAGGACGATATAATTAAATTGTTCAGCCACGTTGAGTGAAGCTAATGACAATTTCATAAAATTAGCATTGTGACCATATTATTAATTAATGCTTGGCCTAGACACATATAATGCTTCTGAAGCAATTGATAGCAAAAAGCAGCTGGACACTATTTACCAAGGGATAAATCACCATCTCAGAATTGGTGCAAACAATTCCTCAAAGGGGAATTTTTTACGCATAATTCCTCAAAATTCCTGCAAATTCCTCCAAATACCCTGCCACAAACTTCTCCAAATACCCCACAAATTCCTCTAAAAAAAAGGAAAATTTTGAAACTTTTTGCATGTAAAGAGGAAGATGAGAACATCATTTTCCCAAAATTTCAAATTTTTCCAGTGGAAAACAGCAACATAAAAAATATTGGAAATCAACCTACAAAAACTGAATTGGTTGAAAATACAGTCTCACACATTTCAAAGTTTTCCTGGAAAACTAGTGAAGGGAAAATTTTGTAACTTTTTGCATGTAAAGAGGAAGGTGAAAACATTATTTTCCCAAAATTTCAAATTTTTTCAGTGAAAAACACTCGGAAAAACAGCAACATGAAAAATCTTGGAAATCAACCTACAAAAACTGAATTAGTTGAAAATAGAGTCTCACATATTTCAAAGTTAGCTGAAAACCTAGAAAAGGGACAATTTTGAAACTTTTTACATGTAAAGAGGAAGGTGAGAAACTCCATTTTTCCAAAATTTCAAATTTTTTCAGTGGAAAACGGCAACATGAAAAATCTTGGAAATCAACCTACAAAAACTGAATAAGTTAAAAATACAGCCTCACACATTTCAAAGTTTTCCTGGAAAACTAGTGAAGGAAAAATTTTGAAATTTTTTGCATGTAAAGAAGAAGGTGAGAAACTTATTTTCCCAAAATTTAAAATGTTTTCAGTGGAAAACAACGTCATGAGGAATATTGGAAATCAACCTACAATAACTGAATAAATTGAAAATACAGTCTCACATATTTCAAAGTTTTCCTGGAAAACTAGTGAAGGAAAAATTTTGAAACTTTTTGCATGTAAAGAAGAAGGTGAGAATATCATTTTCCCAAAATTTCAAAATTTTCCAATGGAAAACAGCAACATGAAAAATCTTGGAAATTAACCTACAAAAACTGAATTAGTTGAATATACAGTCTCACATTTCAAAGTTTTCCTGGAAAATTAATGAAGAGAGAAATTTGAAACTTTTTACATGTAAAAAGAAAGGTTAGAAGCTCATTTTCCCAGAGTTTCAATTTTCTCCAGTGAAAAATTACAACATGAGGAATCTTGGAAATCAACCTACAAAAACTGAATTAGTTGAAAATAGAGTCTCACATATTTCAAAATTTTCCTGAGAAACTAGAAAAGGGACAATTTTGAAACGTTTTGCATGTAAAGAGGAAGGTGAGAAACCCATTTTCCCAAAATTTCAAATTTTTTCAGTGGAGAACAGCAACATGAGGAATATTGGAAATCAACTTGCTTTTGAACACCGTGCAAAAACGAGCTATCAAGCTGATCAATGACCCCGCACTTACTCGTAACTTGGATGGTCTCGAACACCGCAGATCTGTGGGCGATTTATCTCTCTTCTACAGGTACTATCACGGAAAATGCTCTGAAGAGTTGGCACGTATGATTCCACCGAGAGTAGCGCCTACCAGGCGAACCCGTCAAACAGATGGTAACCATGAATTTACTGTCAAACTAGAGGCACCAAGAACCTCATTATATCAGAATTCATATCTCTGGAGAACAGCATCGCTGTGGAATAAACTCCCTGCGACGGTTTTCCCTGCAGGTTACAACCTGAACCGTTTCAAGACCAACATACACCGACATTTCCGCGCACTTGCCGCTTCTCGAGCGTGATAGGACATTTTCCTTGCGAGTGCGCATATCCGTAAAAAAAAAAAAAAAAAAAAAAAAAAACTTACAATAACTGAATTAATTGAAACTACAGTCTCACATATTTCAAAGTTTTCCTGGAAAACTAGTGAAGGGAAAATTTTGAAACTTTCTGCATGTAAAGAAGAAGGTGAGAATATCATTTTTCCAAAATTTCAAATTTTTCCAATTGAAAACAGCAACATGAAAAATCTTGGAAATCAACCTACAAAAACTGAATTAGTTGAAAATACGGTCTCACACATTTCAAAGTTTTCCTGGAAAATTAATGAAGGGAGAAATTTGAAACTTTTTACATGTAAAGAGAAAGGTTAGAAGCTCATTAAAATTTTCCCAGAATTTCAAATATCTCCAGTGAAAATTTACAACATGAGGAATCTTGGAAATCAACCTACAAAAACTGAATTAGTTGAAAATAGAGTCTCACATATTTCAAAGTTTTCCTGAAAAACTAGAAAAGGGACAATTTTGAAACTTTTTGCATGTGAAGAGGAAGGTGAAAACATCATTTTCCCAAAATTTCAAATTTTTCCAGTGGAAAACAGCAACATGAAAAATCTTGGAGTTCAACCTATAAAAACTGAATTAGTTGAAAATACAGTCCCACACATTTCAAAGTTTTCCTGGAAAACTAGTGAAGGGAAAATTTTGTAACTTTTTGCATGTAAAGAGGAAGGTGAAAATAGAATTTTCCCAAAATTTCAAATTTTTCCAGTGGAAAACAGCAATATGAAAAATCGTGGAAATCAACCTTCAAAAACTGAATTAGTTGAAAATACAGTCTCACACATTTCAAAGTTTTCCTGGAAAACTAATGAAAGGGGAAATTTGAAACTTTTTGCATGTAAAGGGAAAGGTTAAAAACTCATTTTCCCAGAATTTCAAATTTCTCCAGTGAAAAATTACAACATGAGGAATCTTAGAAATCAACCTATAAAAATTGAATTAGTTGAAAATAGAGTCTCACATATTTCAAAGTTTTCCTGAAAAACTAGAAAAGGGACAATTTTGAAACTTTTTGCATGTAAAGAGGAAGGTGAGAAGATCATTTTCTCAAAATTTAAAACTTTTCCAGTGGAAAACAGCAACATGAAAAATATTGGAATTCAACCTACACAAACTGAATTGGTTGAAAATACAGTCTCACATATTTCAAAGTTTTCCTGGAAAACTAGTGAAGGGAAAATTTTGAAACTTTTTGCATGTAAAGAGGAAGGTGAGAAGCTCATTTTCCCAAAATTTCAAATTTTTTCAGTGGAAAACAGCAACATGAGGAATATTGATTACAATAACTGAATTAAATGAAACTACAGTCTCAAATATTTCGAAGTTTTCCTGGAAAACTAGTGAAGGGAAAATTTTGAAACTTTTTGCATGTAAAGAGAAAGGTGAGAAGCTCATTTTTCCAAAATTTCAAATTTTTTCAGTTGAAAATAACAACATGAAAAATCTTGGAAATCAGCCTACAAAAACTGTATTCATTATTCTTGTGAATTTTTTAAATTTGACAATTTCTTCTTAATTTTTCATAAATTCCTCACAAATTCTCTTAAATTCCCCATAAATTCCTCCAAATTTCCTATAAATTCCTCAAATTCTCATAAATTCGGAGGAGTTCCTTCAAATACCCCACAAATTCCTCTAAATTTCTCACTAATTCCTTTAAATTCCCCACATATTTGGCAAAGGATTCCTAGGTGGTTTGTCCCTTGCTATTTACATAAACTGTGCAAAGGCCTTTGACAAAGTGGATCATCAGGTGTTGCCGAGTAAGCTTGTTGAATTTAATTTCTCCAAGGATGCATACCATTTCATTAAAATCTACCTTAAATCGCGAATGCAAAAAGTTCGAGTTGGCACTTCCCTTTCACAAGCTTTTCCAAGTATTTTCAAAATAACTGGAAAAGATTTTCGCCAGGTGTCTGGCAGACCACTGTGTAACCGTTAAAGGTTAATCTAGCTTATTTTATAAATATCCGACATGAAATAATTCAAAACTTAAGTAGTACATAGCAGTGCCATCTTGTATGTTGTTTTTATTAGTTTATAAGTATCCATTTCTCTTACTTGTAATTACCATTAAGGTGTTTGTATGAGTATCAATAAATAAATAAATAAATTATTATAACTATTATTTATTTACAGGATCCTTCCTATAATCCTATCGTGGATCTTCGAAAGAAAATACAAAATTCCTATAACCATAAGCAAGATCAGTTTCCCTTATTTAAAACTATGTGATATTAAGATATCAAAAAACGAATACACTATAGTAAGTAACCATTCAACACCACAGACACATTTTAATTTAAAAAAATAACACTTTTATTTGTAGCAAATCGAAGAAATCGGAATCAAAAGTAGCTTTTTAAATTCTGAACTCACAAAACTTATCACTTTAGTTGTTAAGGATGTTAGAATTAATAAGAGTTTATCTAAAAATAGTAGGGTTACCACTATGGAAAAGTCCAAAGAGAATATTTTGGATTTTAGAAAGAAGAAAGTGCCTCACTTCATTAATACATTTGCACAGGTAGGTATTGAGAAATATTTTTGTTAATAAAAGTTTTAATTGAAATAACCTAGTTTATGGCTGTCCATGTCTACAACATATCAGCAATCATCCAGCTGGACACTGAATGCTTGCTGCAAGTCTTACCGAAAGACTTGCACATTGACGGCAGCATTTTGAAGAATGCCAAATCGCTTTTGGTTACTTTGAATATCACCGATGCGTATGTGAGCGTACTGAAACGGTCCAGTAACAAGGCCAGGACCAAACTTGCAGAATTTTCTTTTGGGATCACTTTGGAAACTGTGCTGGTTGCCCAAGGACCACTATCTGTAGAGGTGAGAATTATAGATTCATGGTTTCCAAAAGTCAGAAAAATATCTTAGCACAGAACTTATAAAACTATAACTAATTGTGTTCTATTTCTAGAAATTAGACGTTAAAATGTCTCATAGTAAAGCTTCAATAAGAGCGGGCTTTTATTCCTTACTGCACACATCGAAAAATGAAAATCTACCAGAAATAAAACAACAACCTACGCCTGAACCTGAACCAATACCTTCTTCAAAAACATGGTTGTACAATAAATCCGAAACGGTTGTGTTTGAGAGTAAAAGCTTCAGCGAACTTCACAAGCAAAAACTTATAGACGAAGCAAAAGAAAACGATGACATTCTAGAAAGGATTTTGCCGATTGTTCCGAAAAATTGCTCGTTGCACATCGACGATACTTCGTTTAAAGGTTTCAGTGAAAACGGCGACCACGAATACACTTCTTTCCTGAAATCACTAGCTTTAAATTACCGATCAGTATCGCAAACCGAAAGAAAAGACGGCGTTTTGTTTAATTTCTATTTAAACAATTTCAGTTTGGAAAATAATACAGATAAAACAGTGGAACTAAAAAACTTTAGCATTGACGCTAAGTTTAAAAACAACATTGTAAACATTTATTTGCAACAAAACAATTTACTAATCACCTACAATCATTTAGTGATTTTCAAGTGGATTCATGCAAACTTTTTGAAACAAGCAAATAACACCTCTAAAAAAATAACCCCCAAAACTCCTGTATACTTTGATACCAAAAAACGCTACTCGATGCTTGAAGAAATCATGAAAAATATATCGATAAACTTTTGCGCTGAAATTTCCAATGTAGTCGCTGTAATCAAGCTGAAGGCCGACAATTCCTCTTCAATAGGCTTCAATAAACTCAGATTAATGCTGGATCAAGCTCAGGAAAGCAAAGGAACCAAATACGAATCTTATTTGGCCAATTTATTACTTAGCGACAGACATTGGCAAACAGAATTACTCATTGAATCTTTATGGTGGTCTTTTAAGGAATGGAATCACACTAAAAACATTTCTAAGGTAAGAAATATTTATTTTAATTGAAACAAATTAAATATTGGTATTTAAATTAGGTAATGCACGTTTGGGGCACACCAATTTATTTAGGAATGGGTTTGATTAAGTTTTGCACTTCCGGAAACCAAGGATTGAAACTGTACTCTATACTTGATACTTTGCAACTGGAATGGTCAATGGAGTTGGCCGATTACAGTATTTTAGCTTTCAAGTGAGTAATTTTAAAAGGTTGGTTTGTCATAATTTTTAAATGTTTCAGGTCGTTTTTGAACTACCAGTTTAAATTAAAAAAGTGGCTGAACGAAAACCCGCCGGTTGTTGAAACTGGTGCAAATTTGACTGCTAGCATGGTGATTACTCATTTTAATTGTTTTTTGCAGTCAAGAAATAAAGGTAAAAAGCATTCTCAACTAATACTAGTTTATACTTATATATTATATATTTTTTCCCAATAGAATATTTCGTGTCAAGATTAGACACGATAAGCATCGATACCACTAAAGGCATGTCCAGTTTCAAATTTGAAGAATTCAAAATATTCACTTTGGTCAATACCGGCGATTATTATACATGCATAAGGACCGAGGATATTTTAAATTATGAAATATTCATTAAAATCGCCCATTTGGATTACAGTAGGAAGGAGAACGGCGTGGAGTACAATATTTCTTTATTGGAAAATAGTGTGGCGTTTTGGTCGACAAATTTCCATTTGAAAGCTCTACTATTAATCAAGTAAGTTATTTTTCTAGTAAGAAGGTACATACCGACTGTACCTACCCTATGATTTAGATTTTGGAAAACTTTGAAAGGTCATAACTTTTTTTCTATTATAGATAGAAAGCTGAAACTTTCACTGAATTTTATCCCAATCAAGGGACTACAATCCCTGAAAATTACAGCTCATTTGCACTTATAGTTCCTGAAATAAAATCGTGTTAAGCAATTTTGGGTGATTTATCAATTTTTCAATTTTTCTGAGTGCCTTTTTTCATAGATTTCGGCTTCAAATCTGGGAATAATTTAGTATATGAAGTTCGGGGGATATCAAATGATCATTAGGACACAAAATCTCAACAAAAAAAAATTGAAATTCCATTGTTTTAGTAAGAAGGATGATTTAGATTTTGGAAAACTTTGAAAGGTCATAACTTCTTTTCTATTATAGATAGAAAGCTGAAACTTTCAATGAATTTTATCCCATTTAGGGAACTACAATCCCTGAAAATTACAGCTCATTTGCACTTATAGTTCCTGAGATAAAATCGTGTTACAATTTGGGGTGATTTATCAATTTTTCTGAGTGCCTTTTTTCATAGATTTTGGTTTTAAATCTGGGAATAACTTGGTGTATGGAATTCGGGGGATATCAAATGACCATTAGGACATAAAATCTCAATTAAAAAAAATTTGAAATTTGATCGTTTTAGTAAGAAGGTAGAGGTACCCTATGATTTAGATTTTGGAAAACTTTGAAAGGTTATAACTTTTTTTCTATTATAGATATTTCAGCGATTGTTATTGCAGTAGAGGACTTCAATCCCTGAAAATTTCAATTCATTTGGACTCATAGTTCCTTAGATAAAATCTTGTTAAGCAATTTGGGGTGATTTGTCAATTTTTCAATTTTTCTGAGTGTCTTTTTTCAAAGATTTTGGCTTGAAATCTGGGGATAATTTAGTATATAAAGTTCGAGGGATATCAAATGACCATAAGGACACAAAATCTCAACAAAAAAAAAATTGAAATTTCATCGTTTTAGTAAGAAGGTAGAGGTACCTTATGATTTAGGTTTTGGAAAACTTTGAAAAGTCATAACTTTTTTTCTATTATAGATAGAAAGCTGAAATTTTCAGCGATTCTTATTGCAGTAGAGGACTTCAATCCCTGAAAATTTCGATTCATTTGGACTTATAGTTCCTGAGATAAAATCGTGTTAAGCAATTTGGGGTGATTTGTCAATTTTTCAATTTTTCTGAGTGCCTTTTTTCAAAGATTTCGGCTTGAAATATGGGGATAATTTGGTATATGAAGTTCGGGGGATATCAAATGACCATAAGGACACAAAATCTCAACAAAAAAAAATTTTAAATTTCATCGTTTTAGTAAGAAGGTAGAGGTACCTTATGATTTAGGTTTTGAAAAACTTTGAAAAGTCATAACTTTTTTTCTATTATAGAAAGAAAGCTGAAATTTTCAGCGATTCTTATTGCAGTAGAGGACTTCAATCCCTCAAAATTTCAATTCATTTGGACTTATAGTTCCTGAGATAAAATAGTGTTTATCAATTTGGGGTGATTTATCAATTTTTCTTAGTACTTTTTTTTATAGATTTCGGATTCAAATCTGGGAATAATTCAGTATATGAAGTTCGGGGGATATCGAATGACCATTAAGACACAAAATCTCAACAAAAAAAAAAATTGAAATTTCATCGTTTTAGTAAGAAGGTAGCTAATTTTTCTTACCTACCTTATGATTTAGATTTTGGAAAATTTTCAAAAGTCATAACTTTTTTTCTATTATTATAGATAGAACGCTGAAATTTTCAGCGATTCTTATTGCAGTAGAGGACTTCAATCCCTGAAAATTTCAATTCATTTGGACTTATAGTTCCTGAGATAAAATCGTGTTTATCAATTTGGGGTGATTTTTCAATTTTTCAATTTTTCTGAGTGCCTTTTTTCATAGATTTCGGATTCAAATCTGGGAATAATTTAGTATATAAAGTTCGAGGGATATCGAATGATCATGAAGACACAAAATCTCAACAAAAAAAAAATTGAAATTTCATCGTTTTAGTAAGAAGGCTACCTTATGATTTAGATTTTGGAAAACTTTGAAAGGTCATAACTTTTTTTCTATTATAAATACAAAGCTGAAATTTTCAGCGATTTCTACTCCAGTAGAGGACTACAACCCCCGAAAATTTCAACTCATTTGGACTAATAGTTCTTGAGATAAAATTGTGTTGAAGAGTTTACGTACCTAGTCAACAAATATTTTATTAAATTTTCAAAATCAAAGTTGCAAGCAAAATAATTAAAATACGCATAAAAACCCATATTCAAAATAAACTTGCTTGGCCGCGACGCCATATTGAATTTTTATTTTGACAGATGGATTGGATTGCCTAATTTGGGGACGCTATTCAGATAGTTTACGGCCATTTGTTTAATGCATCCGAAAAAACCGAAAACCGAATTAGAGAGCTGATAATGCGTTAAAACTTTCAACCCACGGTCTGGGCCCATAACCTATTAAAAAGAACTGTAGTGACAGGTTTACAAGAGATGCGAATAAAAAAGGCATGTGTATTATTTGGCGTAACTAATATATCATTTCAACGTAACATAACTAATGAGACAAGCAGGTGTGTTGATAGTTAAAACTCCTAGAAGAGGTGATTCCGTATATTTCTAACATATAAAAGCTTTAACAGAATTTCAGCTCAAAAGGGCCTTGCCCTAGTATTGTTTAATATCCAGTCGGTTAGGAATAAGGTGGATAAATTAGTATTATTTTTGGAGTATTTGAATTTTCCTAATTCTATCCATTAGTATTCATCAAAAGCTTGATCCTCAGAGGGTATCTATAAGATGAGAAAACTTTGAAGCTTTTTCTGTAAAAATCTATTCCCTATTTGGAATAATTTAGTTGCGTAGATATTTTTTGAATTGACACACTGTATGTTAACTATTGATTTTTTTCCCTAGAGACATCCAAGAATTTGCTGACAATTTTATGAAACTCCTACCAAAAATCAAAAAGCCCGAAATCCACCCTCGTGATTTTCCTGTGAAAATTATCAACTGCAGTATTTATAACAAAGTGGAGTTTTACATAGATATCAATAAGGATCATAATATGAAGATTGTATTAGGTAAGTAAGAAAAAAATCTCTTCAAAATAAGTAATTTTTTTAATTTGGATTCATTATTTTTCAGATGAACTTTTGCTCTCCACAAACTTGCACTGGCATTTGGAAAAACGAAACACAAATCACATAATAAATAGTGTTACGATTGCAATAGACGACGCTGATATATTCGAAATCAAAGGCTTGTCCATTAAAAGGCTTTTCAAAGGCCAACCAGAAACGAGAAAAATTGTAATCGAACGCAAAGAAGCGGAATTCACAGAGGCCTTTAATAAAATCACTTACTTATTGGAAGTTGACTTACTAAAGGTAGTATTTCCGCACAAACACAATTACGCAGAAGCTGTACAGAATCAATTTTTGTCAATCATCAAATGGTTGAAAATCGTTCACAAAAAGGAAAAGAGGCCTGACGATCTAAATTTTCCTGCCGATTGGCTGATCAATGTAAGATTTTTCATTTTAGCCATAACTTGCGTATATATATTTTATTGTAGATTAAAGATTTTCTTATGGAAATGAGCGACGATCCGTTTGAAGTCAAACTGAGAGACAACTTTGAACTATTAGAAGACGAATACAACGAAAGCCTGAAACGTCAAAAAATGCTAAAAGAAAAAATAGCCGAGCTTCTAAAAACTCATTTGCACATGCCAGCAGGCAAAGTGGAAGAATTATATGCCACTTTGAAAAAACGTTGCGCAGACATTTACATTCAAAGATCAAAGTTGTTGTATCAAGCGGCACCTCAACGGACCAGATTGTTCGCTTGGAGCATGACCAACGTCGAATTGATGATTATAATGGATTATGGTCAAATCGTAGACTTGAAATATCATTTGAGATCGATGGATAAAGACACTCCTTGGCCTGAAGAAGATTTAAAGTTTTCCACTGGCTGGTGTAGGAATATCAGTCTAAGATGTGAGGAATGGAAATTTCAATTGCGCGATTTTCCTCAGCCGTTGTTGCAAATCAAGCAAATGTATTTGTGCGGTCAGTTGGCCGGGGCTGAACAAGTTGCGCCGGATAGGGGTAAGGAATAAAACTATTTTTGTATTTTATTTATTTAGTTTTGTTGTTCATCTGCTTCCGATGCCCAAGGAACCGAAAATGTCCATTACGACTCCGATTAGGTTGTAGATCCAATCCATTATTGTTGAAATGAAATCGTCCCAGAGTGATTTTTTGATTCTGATTAATACCTAAAAAAAAATAGAATTATTATTAATCATTCCAGTTAACTAATTATGTACTTGAATTGTAAAAGTTGTAGTTTTATTGATGGTGTTAATTTTCTTGGGTAGCTACAAATAAAATTGTGGAGGGGCAAAAGAGAGAAACAACTGCAAGGTTTTCATACATACATTTTTATTACATGACTCAACTCAAAAATCTTTATGTAAATTATTTCACACATAATAGGTTGAAAACCCCACTTTTCATTGACTTACTATTATATAAAAAAGAAACAAAAAATGTGTGCCCTTATGGGTGGTTTGGTCCAGGGGACGCGCTTTCCATAACAAAAGCTGAGCTCTAGGGGTAGGTGTTTTAGAGTAGTCAGAAAATGCGGGTTGGGTGCAAGAATTTACTGGGATTGGGATGAGCATTTTTCAGCTAAATTGGGCAATTTTGTTTATAATTGTTGGTCGAATTGGGGGTGTCTGATGGTTAATTAGACAAGTGCGATTCCTCATAGTCAGCGAAAGAGGAGTTTGCTACACACTAGTTTGCTGGCTAGTTGGAATTTTCCGAAGAACTGAGAATAGAAATAAGACCTTGTGACTGGATTTGCCACAGTCTCCTGCTTTAAACTAACGCTATTGGCGCCAGCGCCAAATCTCTCTTGTCTAATTTTGTCTCGACGATTGGATTTTAGCTGTGCATGGATGGGTTATTTTATTTGAGTGTGTGGTTAGCAGGTTTGGGATGGGGAAGGTTTTCATGGAGGTTCAAAATAGATGGGTAAATTCTTGTAAGGCAGTCCGTGAACTATGAGGGGTTGTCTGGATCATATCTTGTTCCAGTTAGGCTGCGTGTTAGAAGGGATCCTTGAATTTGATAGCGGTGAAATTTGTCGCTGATTTCGTCCAGGTAGTCAGACATATAAGGAATGGATGCTTCCGCATGCATGTCCCTCATTCTGGCTTACCTGGACTCTGACAGGACTCCCCTCAGAATGCGGTTTTGGAACCGTTGAAGGCGTGTGTGGTTGAGATGATGTTCCAAACAGGAGCCCTATAGGTTAGAATGGGTCTTAAGACATGTTTATAAATCAACAACTTATTACCTGGCGAAAGGGCGGAGTTAGGGCCGATGAGGGAGTAAAAAAAAGTTTTTGAGATACAAGTAGTTTAATGTTCAAGAAATACACACATTTTATATGCATTTACATCTACCTGTCACCTAGTAATACCACTAATACCACAGTTTAATACCATGATGGACAGGTATCCTCACGCTCAGGTGACAGGTAGATGTAAAATGCATATAACATGTGTGTATTTCTTGGACATTAAACTACCTGTATCTCAAAAACTAGTCATAGGATTAAATTGTGCCCATGGTAGCCATTGATAAGAAAGGTGAGATCTATGATATACTAAAATTTGGTTAAGTTTGACCGTGATCAGAAATCCCATAAGAAGTGTGCCCTATTTTAGGATTGAGAATCCGAATATCAGGCATCAAAGAGTGTGTTAACGTCAGAAATAATTACATAACGTTACAAATGGGGCTTGTTTTGCGTTAGGGTTCTACCAAGAAGAAATGCTGAAGATATTCAACAATTTGAATTGTAAAAAAATTGTTTGGAGAAATACATTTTAACTTTTTTCTCGCTTCCTAGATCACCGAAATGCAGAAGTAAATAATGGGTCATTTTCCTTTTTTTATCATCACAATACATATATTTACATTTGAAAAAAAAAAGTTGGGCTTTCTGATACTAATTTTATTCAATTTGAAAATTCCACCTTGTATTGATAGCTTATTGGAAAACTCTGCTTGTGCTGATTTCAATGATATAAAGTTCGATAGATTTATCTCTTACAGGGAATAAAGGCCGGTCCCACATTGTGGGTGAAATGAAGGCCGGACTCACATCTTTTGTCCTGGCGGACATTGAGTGCATAAAGGCAGGTTCCACACTGTGGGGGAAATGAAGGCCGGACAAATCAAATTTGAGAGATTATGGCTTCAACAGTTCAAAGGACACACTTCTTATGGGATTTCTGACCGCGGTCAAACTTAACCAAATTTTAGTATGTCATAGATCTCACCTTTCTGATCAATAACTACCATGGGCACAACTTAATCCTATGACTAGTTTTTGAGATACAGGTAGTTTAATATCCAAGAAATGCACACATTTTATATGCATTTACATCTACCTGCCACCTGAGCATAAGGATACCTGTCCATCCTGATATTATTAGGTATAGTTTTTCCAAAGTCAATTGGAACAAGGTGAACATAAATCCTAATTAATGGTAGTGCATTTCTTATGGAAATTTCCCTTGTGCATATTTAACTGGAAATTTACCTCGTAATTTTCAAAAATTGACAAGTGGAAATATCCCTGGTGAGAGTGATATTTCCGGGTGCAATTTCCAATGCGACAATGCCGCGCGGCGTCTGTCGGAAACCCACCTTTAGGTTGTCATTTTTGGCATTGAGACCAGCTTTTCCATTTAAAATGCATTGATGTCAGAAATCTGACAAAGTGTATATTTTTTGACAAACGCAATTTAAATGGGAAATATCAATAACAATCACCATCACAGAACACATCATCATAATTAAAATATTCGCCACAACTTATAATAAATAAACTTCAAACTCGGGAAATTTCCTATCAAAATATAACACGTGCATAAAATATTTCCTAAGGGAAATTTTTAAAAATTTGGTCTTTAGTCAATTTTTTTAAACAAAACCATTCGTGCATAGCGCCAAAGAAAAAATCCCTCACCCTTCGGGTTCGGGATTTTTTCAGGCGCTATGCACTCATGATTTTGTCAAAAAATTGGCTTCAGACAAAATTTTCAAAAATTTCCGGAAATATTTTATGCACTAGTTATATTTCTACTGGAAATTTTCAGTGACCAGTCAGCCACCAGTTGGTACCTTGTTCCAATTGAGTTTTGAAATACTCTAACAGGTACATGTAAATGCATACAAAATGGAAAAGTCTTCCAGAATTTCTATTAATTGAACCAATACTTGATGTAAATAGAAATTGGAATCTTGTAAAGTTTTTGTTAGTGAAATAACAAATCGGCCCAAGAGTTTTTTTTTTTAACTTTGGTATACTTTAAAGGGAGCGCCACTAGATTGCATGAAACTTTTGAAAATTAACCATGCTGTGAGTCAAAAATCTGTAAATAATGACGAAAATCTTCAAAAATCAACTAAACCCAATATTTGACATTATGAGTATCGGCTCAACCAATTCATGTTATAATTTATTTAAAAAAACAACCTTCAACAAATACCCAATACTAAAGTCCAATTACTGTAAAGTACAATAACAAATAAGTCCTTAAACTATAAAATCATATGTAACTTTTCAAGCTGGTCTATGTAACTGTTGTAAAAGCTTCATAGCATCTTGAGCTGCCTTTAGAATCGCATCTAGCTGAGTTTGACTTAAAGAAGGCCAGGGTACAGGTGGAATTTGGGCATTGGCCAATTGACGAGGCACCTGAATTCAAAACAATAATATTCATCTATGTCTAAGGGAAATTTAACATTGAAAGTGTTAGCACTTACCTTTATTTTGTATTATTATTATTGTTACTTACACTTTGTCATGCAATAATTATTTACACGCGCAATCAATTCCCGGTTAATTTTGGGTATGAAAAATTTAACTTACTCTTTGCTGGTCCTTAGCTTCTTCGTCACATAATCCAACATTGAGAACAGCAACCATCACAATCAAAATTACCAGCATTTTAATGGAACCCATTGTTTGTTTTAAAATCAATCTCGGTGCTTACACAAGCGATTAATATAGGCAAATAATAACAAACCCAAAATGGCTATGACCATTAGTAATGACATAATTACCCAGGAAGTGCTATATCTGAAAATCTTTATTGTAACTCAAATACAAAAAAGGAATATTATTTATAATTAAGTTTTATTGTTAATTGATTCCTATTATAATTATTGATTATTGTTTTAGCTACTCGTACAGTCATGGTAGACCTGGGCGACCCTTTCGAACCGTTCAAAGTGGCCAGAGGCATGCAACCCATGAAATTCTACTACGATTTGAATTGCGAAATCGAATCTTTCAGCTACGCTTTCGGGCCCTGCTGGGAACCGGTTATAGCTCAGTGCAATTTGAGTTTTAACCAGATCAGCGCTCCTTCTAAAGACCCGTCACCTCCGTTACTGTTTTGGGACAAAATGAGGCTTTTGATGCATGGTAGACTCACTATGGTAGTTCAGCAGATGCAAGTGCTGCTTCACGCTTCGTTGGATCCTTATAATACTACTGAGGAAATGGCGCTCACTTGGGAGAAAGTCATCATGGATTGGACTAATGGTAACTTCAGAGTTTTATTTTTGCTACTAGAGGGCCTCAATCTGGGATAAGATTTGATATTTTCCATGTTGTAGGAAAGATTCCTATGTTGAAAGAAAGCTGAAAAAGTTGTTTGAGGGCGTTTACCAAAGATGAGCAGCACTCTTTCAAAAATATAGGTTATAGTCCGTCGGGTCCCGGATTCTTGGAAATGTCCAAATTAAGGATGTTCTCCTTTATTTCTCCAGCTGTGAACGCATGATCTGAAAAGTTTACTTCAAATTCGACGGAGTGATTTCCGCCCGTCAGTACGGATCAGAAAAACGGCTTTTGAAGTATTGGGCCTATTGGGCGAATAGTTCGGCGATTTGTCAGATCAGAAGTTTTGACATAATCCAATTGCATTTGGGATGGCAGTCCTGCATCCCTTCTAATAGTGACTTGAAGTAAGACCAGAAATATCAATTTTTCTGAGTGCATTTTTTCATAGATTTCAGCTCCAAATCTGAGAATAATTTAGTGTATGCAGTTTGGGGTATGTTGATTAACCATTAGGATACAAAATCTCGACAAAAAAAATTTTGAAAAGTCATAACTTTTTTTCTATTATAGATAGAAAGCTGAAACTTTCACTGAATTTTATCCCAATCAAGGGACTACAATCTCTGAAAATTTCAGCTCATTTGCACTTATAGTTCCTGAGATAAAATCGTGTTAAGAAATTTGGGGTGATTTATCAATTTTTCTGAGTGCCTTTTTTCATAGATTTCAGCTCTAAATCTGAGAATAATTTAGTGCCTTATGATTTAGATTTTGGAAACATTTGAAAAGTCATAACTTTTTTTCTATTATAGATAGAAAGCTGAAACTTTCACTGAATTTTATCCCAATCAAGGGACTACAATCCCTAAAAATTTCAGCTCATTTGCACTTCACGTTGACGTCGACCTGGAAGATAGAACCTAAACCAAGTTAAAGCGGTCCTCCTGAAACCATAACACTCCAGTTCTGAAAGCAATAGCCCATCACATACACAGATACAGAGAGATCGTAAAATACCGCTGCAGTTGATTCTCTGCCATTTACGCACCAATAAACATTCTCCAGAAACTTAAAAATGGCATCATGCGTTCCCCTGGAAGCTTAAAAGCCACATTAATTGACACACACCACACACAACACAATCTACATCACATTCCTCTACATATTGAAAATGCTTGATAAGACTTAGTTAACTTTCTCTTTCAGCTAAACTCGTATTCAAAGGAGACCTAAACATATTCGTGAGAACAGCCTCAAAGTACGACGACGTCCAACTACTAAAACTACCCAACCTAAAACTGATTCTCGGTTTCCATTGGGTATGCTTGGCCGATCCGAACGACCATCACAACGTCATCTATTGCGCCCCGAATAAAATTCCAGAATATTCCAGCAACCAAGTAAGAACTTATCCTAATAACTACATGAAACAAAAATTATTGTCCTTGTTTTAGGTTCACGACTCTTTCAGGGCCTTCCGTTCACAAAATCTTAATTTGAGCATCGTTTTGGAAACAAAACCTACCCCTAATCAAACCTCCAATAGTTGTCCTATTTTGTTGATTTATGGCAGCACTTTGAGGTGGATAGAGAACTTGAAACTAATTTTATCAGGTAATTATTGTCTCTATCATTGGTAAAAACCTACCCACTTTCATCTATGTTTTCCTTCTTGGACAAATTTATCAAATGTTGAAGTTGCTAATTCTCTCTTTCTGATTAGGTGTTACAAGACCGACAAGACGTGGCAAAATCTTCGACAACCAACGACCGAAAAAGATCCAACTGAGCCGCCACTACAAAAAAATCAACCTCCTAGTGGGCCTGCACAAATTCCAAGTTTGCTATTGGATGTCTTTTGCTATGCACCGAGGCTGCGAAATGTTCGGAGGTCGTTTGGCTTCAAGTTCGGAACATTCCCTTTCTCTAGTGTCAGTGGACGATGGCCTTAAGCACAGACCGAAAGCCGAATGGAGTATTGTTTATATGAACTCGGAATTGAGCGACTCGGAAATTTGGTTAAAGAGTGCGCTGCAAGATGAGTCGGAGTTTGAAACTTCACGGTTGCAACCTGTTGAGAAAACTTATTGTTTGTCAGTGGCAAAAGTGAGGATTTAGTTTATTGCTGATTGTTTTTAATAAGATTTTTTGTAGGTATCTTATGGTAGAGAAGCTGTTTTGCCTAATCAAGCCCTTGCTGACCGTAACAAAGACACTCCAACTCATAAGTTAGTGGTTTACGATTTAAGAGGGGCTTGGACTAAAAGTAATAGAAATGTTGCATTTGCTTTGTTTGATACTTTTATGAAAACAACTGTGAGTTTTGTATTGTTTTTGCTAATATTTACTATACGCTATTATTATAGAGAACCAAGAAAAACTTATCAACTGAGGCCTTGAAAGGCTTCAGAAAAGACACAAACACTACACCGATGAAACGCAGAAATGCTGATTCAACTAGTACACCGCCCAACAATGCAGTTCAGGTAAAAATTACCAAATTTGCTAGACATTTTTTGAAATCACTAAATTTTGTAGGGTATCCAATCAGCATCAGCGGTTCAAGACGCGGCTTCGCCCATCAGCAAACTTCAATCGGGCCATGCAGCTAACATGCTACAGCAGCTGATTGCTGAAGTCGATAACAATTCCATAGTTTATAGTGACGATTTGTCAGCGGTTTCGAGGCAACAGCATTTGCAAGGGGTGCAAGCCTGTCAGGAGGATGATGTTATCCATAAGAATTGGCAAAGTGAGTACAGAATTGGCAGAATGAGTATAGATTTTTTTGTTCATTTATTGAGCGTGGTACACTACAGAGTTAAACTTCAAATGGCACATTCAAAATAATAATAATGAAAAGTTGTGCATAAAACAAAAATTAAAATTAAACCTATAACTACGTCAATGTTAAAAGTACATATAAGCTAACACAAACAATGAACACAAAGCATAGAGAACAGTGAAATAAAATAAATTTAAAACCAAAATGAATGTCTACAACAAACGGAGACTAGATGAGACCAAGTTGTTTGCTGCGTAGTGGTTATTGTAATTGCTCATCATGCGGTCAACAAATGCACCCCAGCCATAATTTTTTCGATGAGTGGCCACAAAAAAGAGCTGGGTTTGCCTGGTTTGTCCAATTGGCAAACAAAAATTGATTTCGGGAAGCAGAAGACTACAGGTTATTATCCCATGGACCAGCTTATAAAGAAACAGTAGCAGCTGATCACGTCGTCTTTGTTCCAGTGATTTCAGGCCACACTGGAGGAGCCTAATGCTGTGGTTGACGTTTTCATAGGGATATTGAGGTTTCTACAGGAGGTATTTAGCAAATTTTGCCTCGGGTGTTTGTGACAGTTCTTAACAGGAGACCAGATCATGCTGTAATATTCAAGAATGCTGCGTACCAAACAGTTGTAAAGAGTGTGTAGCGCCTGGGTATCATGTAAATCCTTTGTGTTACGCTTCACAAAACCCAGCATCCTAAACCCTCTGTTCACAATATTTTCAATGGGGTTCTCAAAAGTTAAATTACTGTCACTCCCAAATCATTGTAAACGCCAACATGTTCAATTATCTAGTTTTCGATTGTGTAACAAAAAGGCTGGACAATTCGGTTCTTGAAAATTGCATTGACTTGCATTTCTTGACTTTCAATTCCGAAAAATTGTTCCTGCACCATGTAACAAGCCGGTCCAAATTCGCTTTAAGGTTGACTTGTGGACTCGTTTTCAAAAAAAATTAGAGGTGGTCACATCATTGACGAACAGGAAAAATAGTATTAGACCTTGCCGCTTCTCGAGCGTGATAGGACATTTCCTTGCGAGTGCGCATATCCGTAAAAAAAAAAAAAAAAAAAAAAGACCTATATGTGTGACCCAGGGAATATTGGAGAGGACTTTAATTTCCCGGGATGCTGTCCCACCCACGGTACAATACTGCCTGCGCCCTCTAAAGTACGACTTAATCCAGCCTGAAATGGGGCACATCCTGGAGAGTTTTATAAGGAGCAGCTGATAACAGACCCTATCGAAAGGGTGTGTGGATGGCGTATTAGACGTTAATGGAAAACTAAAAAGCGAATCATTTTGAAAATTTGGCAACCGGGATAAACGACCATAATCTACACTTTACTCTAAAGCAGTGGCAACATCGCTATTTTAAATGGAACACCCTATATGTGATTGCATATTTGGATTATATGTAAAATTCTGAGCAGGTTTCAAGTGATATACATTATACCTAAGTTCAATTGTTTTGGAAATAATGACAGTTGAAAATTGACTTTTTTGAAACTTTGGCAGGCTGTAAAACCTAAACGGTTAATTTTAAAGGAAAGCCGATTTTACATTCCTATTTTAGATTTTCATAAACTATCGTTTGACACCAACTTTGAATTTAACCGGAGATTAAATTTAATTGGAATTTTCCGAGGAATTTTCAATCATGGATTAAATTCAAAGTTGGTGCCAAATGATAGTTTATAAAAATCTAAGACAGGAATGTGAAATTGGTTTTCCTCTAAAATTAATCGTTTAGGTTTTACAGCCTGTTAAAGTTACAAAAAGTCAATTTTCAACTCTAAATATTTCCAAAACTGCTCAGAATTTTACGTAGAATCCAAATATGCAATCACATACAGGGTGTTCCTTTAAAAATAGCGATGTTGTCACTTGTTTAGAGTAGGAGGTGCAACACCGCATAAACAAAAATATTTTTAAAGTGTAGATTATGGTCGTTTATCCCGGTTGCCAAATTTTCAAAATGATCCGCATTTTAGTTCTCCATAAACGTCTAATACGCCATCCACCTGTATTGGTAAAAACAACATCGAATCTGTGTCCAGCTTCCAGTGAATGGACCAGGTAGTTTTGATAAACGGCCAGACTTGTTGCTGTAGATCGAGCCCAGTAAAAACCATGCTGCTCCTCTATTATGTGGTGTTAAGATTTCTGTTTTATGATACACTAAAATCCGAGCAGATTACCTGGGTTGCAACACTAAAAAAAAAATGTTTGAAGTTTGACTTTTCAGTAAAAGTTGTCAATTCAATCCTTAAAGTTGAATCAATAAATTATTGAGAAGTATTGGAGTTTCAGTGGTTTTCCTTGAAATATTACATGAGGTTATGGGCCTAGGATATCAGGAAAATCGTTCAATTCATAATTATATTTGGTAATGAAATGATTATTAGCTCTAGCAGCTGTATGCAACATCCTCTTTTAACTTAGAGGCGCTTTTTAAAACTGGTACCTTTAAAAAATTGTATAGCTTTAGAATACACATTTTTAGAAGTGACCAGTTTTAAAAAGCGCTTTTAAGTTAAAAGAGGATGTTGCATACAGCTGTAGGACTTCCCAGTGGAGAAAAAGCAGTCCCAGCGACATTAAGGCCTTTACACACTTCTCTCAATTACTTTTGTTGTAAATAGGCGTGAAGTTCCACTTGTAGAACGGCTGGTTTTATTTCGACATTTTCGTGAAGTCTTTTCAGTTGCTTCGCATTGAAATTCGACACTCCGATTGATTTGATTTTGCCTTTTTTCACTTGCACCTTCCTTTCTGCAGTATCCAGACAAAATTCTCTATTTTCTTTCACCATTGGCGACATTGTGGATTCGTTTAATAGAAACCCGAATGGCATGTGAATCAAGTAAAGATCCACATAATCCAATTGTAATTTTTGTAAGGATAAATTTAAAAATCTTTCAACGACACTTGATCTGTTGCCATAATTGAGTAATTTGGTTGTTATAAATAAATTTTCACGTTTAACTTTGCCAGAACCGATCCATTCCTTGAGGATTTTTCCTATTGATTCTTCAGTATTGTAGTTAAATACGGTATCAATATGCCTATATCCAACTTCCAAAGCAACATCCACAGTATTTTCCATTTCCTCGGGGTTTCCTTTCCAAGTACCCAAACCCACAATGGGCATTCCCCGTCCACTACTAACCAGTCTAATACTTCTCATGGTAATTTTTTTTGAAACTATTTTCACTAAACTACACAGTTCTTTAACTATTTTTTTGCCAGAGAGAATCTGGCAAATGAACTTGAAATATTACATGAGGTTATGTGCCCAGCAGAATACGAGTGTGCATATGCGGTAGAGCATAAATAAATTTAAAAAAAAAAGCTGATTCATAAGTTTTCGAAAGGTGCCCACAGAAGAAATATTGTGAAATGGAAAAAAAAAATAAGTATAGAACCATTGAATGGAAATAATAATTATCACACGTGGAAATTTAGGGTTGAATTAATATTAGCAGAATATGATGTATTAGCTTTTGTAGAAAATGAGGTAACCCTAGAAGATAATGCAGCGAAGAAAAAAGATAACAAAGCGAAATCACTTTTGGTTCAGTGCACAGAAGATTCAGAAATAGAAAGTTTACGTGAATGTAAAACTGCCTACCAAATGTGGAAAATACATGGAAATAAATACGAGAAGAAGGAATTACCAGGACAGTTGTTTTTGAAAAGGAAACTACTGAGCATGAAGCTGAAAGAAAATGGATGTCCAGTCAAGTTTATTGAGGAATTTGATAGTATAGTAAGACAGTTAAAATCCGCAAACATGAAAATTACAGATGAAGATTAATATGTAATTTTCTTTTAAGTTTACCTATGTAGTTCATATAATACATTCATTACAGTGGTAGAAAATTTACCAGGAGTGACTTTCGAAATTGTAAAAAATAAATTCCTTGCAGAAAATGAAAAAAGACAGGTAGGTTTACAGAGTGAGAGACAGAGTATAAAAGAAAATGAGAAAGCTATTCCAACAGCTTTCATGTTACAACGTAGCTGTTTTAAATGTGGAAATATGGGGCATTACAAAAAGGAATGTCCTGAAAATGAAGGTCAAATCCTGGGTCAAGGAACAAATCGTGAATATGCTGATAGAGGCAGATATAGAGGATGGTTTCGAGGAAGTCGAGGTGTCTCGTTTAGAGGAAATCGAGGAAGTTTCATGAGAGGTAACAATAGTAGTTTTAGAGGACAGTACAGAGGAAATCAAGGTAGGGGAAGTTTTAATAATTTTTATCGAAGTAATTATGCTAATAATGAGCGAAATGTTAATTCAAATTATTCAAATTTCCAAAATGATCCAGAAAGTAACAACTCGGGTAACAATGCTTTTAATCAAAATGTTGGTAGGGAAAATAATGATAAAAATGTTTGTTTTATGAATGGAAAAAATATTCAAACTGATTTACCGGGTGTTTTTTTATCTTTGATATCATTTTGATCACCTGTAACTTTTTTGTTTTTCAAGATATCAAGGTAAACAAAAAAACAAAATGTAGGGTTAGTAGCCAAGTTTTTTTTCAAGCTACACATAAAACAAAACACTATCAATTTTTCGACATGTAAGACTACATTATATTTTTTTAAATGGAACACCCTGTATATTATATATGTGTTCGATAGAATATCTTATTCTGATTACAATGATATAATACACTTCATATTTTAGTGCACTCGTTTTTGACAAATCGGCAAAAATATGGAACTTCTGAAGTGAAACTTATTGTGCAGGGGCTGATATTTGGGACGAGAATTATTGAGAGTGTATATGAAAATTTCATATATTTTTGCCGATTTGTCAAGAACGAGTGGACTAAAATATGAAGTGTGTAATATCATTGTAATCAAAATAAGATATTCTATCGAACACATATATAATATACCTGGTGTTCCATTTAAAAAAAATATAATGTAGTCTAATATGTCAAAAAATTGATAGTGTTTTGTTTTATGTTTATCTTGAAAAAAAACTTGGCTACTAACCCTACATTTTGTTTTTTTGTTCACCTTGATATCTTCAAAAACAAAAAAGTAACAGGTGATCAAAATGATATCAAAGATAAAAAAACACCCGGTACAAACAAATTATAATTATAAACGCACAGGTTTAAAATTTTATATTGATTCGGGCTGTGAATATATAAAATCGCACAAGAAATATGCCCATATTGGTTTTAGCGGTTTAAAACAAATTATTAGGACTGATATGGTTGAAGGGATTGCTAAAAATTTGAAAATTCATGACGTTAGCTTTTGTGAGCCTTGTATCAAAGGCAAAATTACGAGAATTCCTTTTGGCACTCATACAATAGGTACTAGAATTCTTGAAGTTGTACATTCAGATTTATGTGGACCTATTACTCCTGTAGCTATAGATGGTGGTATATACTTTCCAACAACATAAATCTGAAACCTATGGTAGGTTTGTTGAGTATTTACAAATGCTGGAAACTAAATTTACTTGCAAAATTCATAAATTGAGATGTGATAATGGTGAGGAATAGATTTCCAAAGATATTACTAAATTATGTCATGAAAAGGGAATACTTATTGATTATACAGTAGTACCATATTTTCGCCTCAACAAAACGGGAAGGCTGAACGCAAGAACAGAAGCTTGGTGTAGCGTAGTAGAACAATATTGGTAGAGGCAGGTATGTGAGGCAGTTAGAACCGTAAATTATGTTATGAACAGAGGAATATCTTCAAATTTAAATGTTACTCCCGCAGAAATTTGGTATAATTCAAAACCAGACATCAGTAATTTTAGAATTTTTGGTTGTGTTGCTGTTGCATATAGCCATCTACAAAAGCAATTTCGGGATAAAGCTGAAAAATGTGTTATGGTAGGTTATGCTCCAACTGGGTATAGATTATGGAACCTAAGAAGAGAAAAAATTATAATTTCAAGAGATGTGGAATTTAATGAGAATATTTTTTATTTTAAAGATAGGTCAGTTCAAGTAGTTAGTGAAATAGAAATGAACGAGAGTCAGAATGAAAGTTTAAGAAATAAAAAGGAGGAAAATATAAGACATACAGAAGGTAAACGAACTATTAAAATACCAGCTAAATATGATGATTTTGAACTTTATATGACATTTGATGCAACATCTTTTGTAGATGATAGAAATTTTAATGAAATAGGTTATACATCTGATAGTAAATTATGGTTAAATGCAATAGACAGGGAACTAAGGGGCCTATTCTGTAACGTGTCGTTAGCAAACGATGTCGTTACGTAAACGACTTCGATTTTAACGACAATTTCAACGACAAATCGCCAGATCTTATTCTGTAGCATTATCGTTGAGCAGAAATCTAGTGACATATTTTAACGACATTTTTGGTGAGGTTGGTATCAAATCTATCAAAAAACGTATGTTTATTCTTGCTACAGCTTCTTTCGTACAACTTACATAACCTAACTTTTGAAACTGGTTTTTATTTAAAAAGTGAAGTGAAAGTGTGTGCTTTTATTATTGTTTAATTTTATGCCAAATTTTGTGATTACGGGATAGTGCAATGGCTTTGACCGAAAAAGGCAAAAGAGCAGGCAAGACCACTCGTGCACAATATCAGATATACCTTGATGAACTCCAGACAAATAATTTCTTCAGAGAGTCAAAATTTGATGCCTCTGATCCAGATATTTTAAAAAGAACTTGGGAAGAATTATCTGTGAAATTGAATGCATCAGGGGGCCCAATTAGAGAGGTTGCTGGCTGGAAAAGGGTTAGTTGTTGTGGTTAAATAGTGTGTATTGTATTAATGTGCTTGTTTTTAGGTTTTCACTGACTGGAGGAGCCAGGTACGAGGCAAGGCTCGAAAAATAAAATGTGCCATGGTAGAAACAGGTAACGCTGGCGATCCACCGAAACCATTGACAGATTTAGAAGAAAGACTACTAGAAATTACCGGGAAAGTAGTAGTTGATAGAATGAGTGGTGTTCCAGAAATTGGCCTTGGTATGTATATGTACCTACTTTATATGATTTAAATGCCTTAATTCTTGACAATAATTGGAATTAACAGAAGTAACTGTCCCAAGTGATGAGGAAAGGGAGGTACCAGATGAAGACGGTAAGCAGTCGGTAGCCAAGGATAAAGAAAATATCCCCAGCTGCTCTTCTCAAAATACCCAGAAGCATAAGCCACCCACCAAAAAACGTCGGTCCCTTACAGGAACTTTGAGGGACATGATGTGTCAACCTCTGGAAGATAAGAATATTTTGAAGCAGATATCCACAGACCTAAGGAAACTTCGAAAAATCGAAGCAGCAAAGTTAAAATTACGTGCAATGGAACTGGAAATACAGTACCCCGACTATACATTTGTGGTTGAGTCATCAGACTCTGAATAATTGTACGAATTTAATAGAGTTCGTGTATTTTGTGTTCCAAAAAATAATTGTTAAGTTCCTGACCTACCAAAGAATAATTATTAGGTAATAATTAATAATAAACGTTCAAAAATACTTTATTGTCATTTTTATTATTAAATTTTTTTTAATTTTGAAAAAACTCATTAATTACTCGATTTCTAATCATATGGTCTCTGTTGAGTAATTGGTTGTCAAGTTCTTCAGGATTCTCCCCATTTTCTGGATAAGGGTCATCTTCTACAAACAGGTCAGGGTCTACAGGTAAGTTATGCATTATAATAAAGTTGTGTAATATAGCATAGGCGTAGATGATCTTGGAAGTAAAGGAAGGTGTATAATGTAACACTCTATCAGAGTGCAAGCACCTCCACACGCCTTTCAAAACCCCATTGGTTCTTTCTATACAGTTGCGAATCTGTTGGTGCCTGGATGTGTACCTAGCTTCTGGACTGCCTAGTGGTGCATGAGGAATAGGAGTAAGTAAATAAGGTAGAAGGTGATAACCGGAGTCACCAAGTAAATAGGTATGCTGGTCTCCGGCAATAAAATTGAGATGCAGAAATGCGCGTATGCGACTCATTCGCCAAATCGCAGCATCGTGTACACTGCCAGGGAATTGAGCGTTAATGGACAAGATTTTTAAATTAGCGTCGCACACTATTTGCGTATTAATACTATAAAATTGCTTCCTGTTGACAAAAACATGGGCAGGGTATCCCAGGTTGAGATAACTGGGAGGAACTATCTTGACATGTGTGCAATCAACATAGCCTATAATCCCTGGGATATGAAATTTCTCAAAAAAACCTTGCTTTACATTAGCAATTTCGACAGCATTTTGCGGAAAACGAATGTATCGATTAGCTAAGTTATCCACCATCACATTCACCACCTCGTGTATAGATCTGCTAACGTTAGCCTGAGAAGAGGCATTTAAATGGTCGCTTCCTACAGGTTTCTAGTAACTCCCGTCAGCCAAAAAAGCTAAAGTCGTAAAAAAACGCACTGTTGGGGGTGTTTTTGTATTTCTTTGTCCATTAGCCAAAAATGGAAGTAGTTCTTGGAATAAATGATGAGCTCCTTCTGGGTCCAACCTGTACAACTGCCTGAAAACTTCATTAGGCAAATTGAAGGGGTTACTTTTGTCTCTTAAATGACGAAGGTTGTTTCGGTCTTGCTCTCTAAAATATTATAATTACCCGCATTGTAAATAAAAATAGTTAGGAATAAGTAGGTACCTACCTCTTTTCTAGTTCATCTAGAACAAGGTTAAGGTCCATTTTAAAATTAGGAAACAACTTTTATTTAAGCAAAACACTTTATTATGATTGCGAAAAAACTCACTTAACGACTTCTGTCTGGCCAACGACAGCTAGATAGGTGCCGTTCATAGACGACTATTTCAGACATTTTATCGGTAGTTAAACGACAATCGTTAACTTTACAGAATAACAAAAGTCGCCTATTAGCGATAGTCGCCTATGAACGACATCGTTACAGGTTACAGAATAGGCCCCTAAAATTCAATTTATGAGAATGAGACATGGCAAATAGTTGACATCCTAGAAATGAAAATATAATTGACACAAAATGGGTTTTTTTTTTACAAAAATTTGGAGGAAAATGAGAGAAATAGATATAAAGCTAGGTTGGTAGTTAGGGGTTTCCTACAAGATAAAAATGTAGATTATGAGAATATCTATTCTCCAGTTGCTAAGATGTCTACTATTAGACTTTTATTAATAATTGGAAACCAGTTTAAACTCTATTTTTATCAACAAACCGCGTTTTTAAATGGAATTATAAATGAAAATAATTATATTTATCCTCCTGAAGAAGTAGAGTGTGAAAAGAATACAGTGCTAAAACTGAAAAAATCATTATACGGTTTAAGACAGTCAAGTAAATGTTGGAATGACAAAATAAATACATATTTGTTGGTATTAGGCTTTGAAAGATCTGAGAACGATTACTGTTTGTATTTTATGAATAAATCTTCTGAGGTGGCTTATTTGTTAATATACGTGGATGATATTATTATTTCTAGTGAAGACATAAATTTATTAAATCAAATAAAATCAAAATTAATGACAATTTTTAAAATGGTAGATTTGAAAATTGGAAAAATAGTTGATTTTTTCCAGCAGTTTGGAAAGTAACACCCTGATTGAAAGATCTTTGAAATAATTTGTACAGATTTTTCCTGTTAAGATGTCCTGGAGACAGCCAAGTCTCCGTAAGCGAAATGGCGTCATAGTTGCAAGCCTTAACATTGTGTGAGAATTCCCTAGATGTCATCCTCAAACCCCTGACGTTTTGGTGAAATAACGTTTAATTTGAAGGGACGATAGATGAATTAATAAATGGCATGTTTCAAAGGAAAATCCAAATGGAAAAATGTGAAATATATTTTTCTAAATATTCAGCTTTGCTATAGTGTTTGGTCAATTATTGATATTGAATTTTTCTTATAGTTTCTCTAGTGAACGCCCAAGTGTTACTGAAAGGCTGTGAAACCAACGGTTACGTAATTCTAAGTGCCGCAAAGGCAGAAATTTTGCAACGAATCCACCGTCCAGCCTGGAAAGACAGAACTCTAGTCTCCAAAACTACTTGGACGGGGCTTTTGGAGTGCATGCAGTATTACGCCACAGTGAACGCTGGAGAAAACGACATCAACGGTTTGTGCTCAAAGAATTTTACGATTTTATTATAAAAAAAATGTCTTTTATATAGAAAATATTATGTGGCTAACTGTGGACAATATCCAAGAAAAGGAATCTGCCGAGATATCTGAACCGTCAGAGGTACCCAATATGGTTGGCAGTGGGGTTTCTGTGGGGGCTGTTGTTAGCGATACAGTGGGTCCTAGTACCTCAAGACAAGTAAGTATAGAAAACAGAAAAAAATTATATTTGTTCATAAAATAATTTTTGCAGCTCCAAAGAATTGTTTCGAGGTGTAAATGTGAATTTTATTATGCCGGCTATGGAGATATTAGTGTCGATCCTGAAGGTAAGATTTTACATCCTAGGATAAAGAAATCTTAAATACTATGAGATTATCTATATAGGTATTAGTGAAATTCCTCCACCTCCACAAGAAGATGTCAGCCCTTGGGACAGTAGACAATCAGGTGTAGACGCCTTTACGCTGATGCATTACGATTTAGAAGTTTGTACCAACTCTCTACAGGTTATTAATTTCATTTAATAATAGCAGCAAAGCCTTAAAGCATTAGTTTTTTTCCAGTATGCAATGCTTCTAGACATAATCAACAACTTGCTGCTCTACGTGGAACCGCACCGAAAAGAAGCACTGGAAAAATTGGCGAGGATGCGATTCCAGTTGCAGTTGCACAGCGTCGAAGACCAAAGGCGGCCGATCCAAGAAAAACAAACTATAGTCAGGAATATCAATAATAAGTTAAGACGTCTGGAAAAGGACACTTATATGTTGAACAAAGCGTTAGAAGAGGACGCTGACGATAAAGATTTGAGAGTGGAATTGGAGAGACTAGAAAGACTCGTGAGGAATTTTTTTATTTTATAAATATTAATCGCAATACATACTTTTCAGATGCACGATTGCAAAATGAACCTAAACGCTCAAAGCGAAGAATTAGATATGATGCTCTCTTGCTACAAAGAAACTCAACTTTTAGCCAATGCCAGGCTGGCAACTACAAGAAGTGACAAACCCCTAACTGTAGTCAGAGCCAATGAAATTTGCTTCAAGCACGCCCAGTGGAGACTCACTGAAGCTGACGGCCAAATTGGTATTGCCGATTTAGTGCTGAGCAATTTTCTGTAAGTAACTTTGATGCTTTTAAGTTGCTTTTTAAGTATTTCTGTTTAGGTATACGAAAAACTCGAAATCTGACGATTCAATGGAACATTTGCTAGAGTTGGGCTACTTGAGAATGACTAATTTGTTGCCAAATGAAATTTATAAAGAGATTTTGTGTCCTACTGAAATTCAATATGATATGCCAATTGAACATAAAGTAAGTACTATTATTTTTGCATATTTAACAACAATAATGAATTGATTATTGTAGAAAGTTTTAAGGATATTTTGTAGAGAAAAACCTCCAGTTGGAGGCATATCAGTAAAAGAACACTTTGAAATCAACTTGGTACCACTAACCATTGGTCTAACAAAGAAATTCTACAATACAATGATGAAATTCTCATTTCCTGAAAGAGACACTGAGAGTTCGGACTACAACGATAGAGCAAGCGAGGATGGCGATGCGGAAACCAAAAGCAAAAAGGGCAAATCCAAGAAAAGTCGCGACTCCAACTTTTACGTGCACATCGACGACGTCGAAAAAATGAAAGAGCGGGCTGAAAAAAACAAATTATTTGTGTTTATTAAAATACCAGAAGTACCAGTCAAAGTCAGCTATAAAGGCACCAAAGAGAAAAACCTGGAAGATCTCAGAGACGTTTCTATTGTGATACCGACGTTGGAATATCATAATATGACGTGGACTTGGTTGGATTTGTTGATTGCTATTAGGAATGATACGAAAAAAGTGATTTTATCCCAGGTATGGTATTATTTGACAGGCATATTAAGTTGGCTATTATTAAGGCGTGAATAAATACTCCAGATTATTAACTCAACCAATGGTTTTGGATAAACCACAAACCATGAAACAGATACATTGTGGGTTGGTTATTAGTGTCTTGTGGTTACTGCTGTTTATGAAACTGGCTCTTAGAGTCTTCCAGATGCAAAATAATGTATTGGAACCATCTGGATATTATCAAATCATGATACAGACTCTATCTAATATAATCTTAGAGTCTTCTACAGATTTTGATGTTTTGAGATTTTCACACCAAACATTACAATATAGAATAATCTGTGTGTATTAATTTTTTCAGGCTATAAAGCAAAAATTGCAAATCAAAAGAAATACGGGTACCGCCGAAGACAGTTCCGCACCGCAGGAAGAAGACAAGGCAAAAATGTTGCTCGGTTCCAGACACGTAAGTTTTTGACAAAATTTTCTTGAATATTTTAATAGCCCATTCACTAACAATTTCTACTCGAATTTCTAGCATAAAACGAGGAATTTTGGGGAAAAGGTAACATTACTAACTGCACTAACACACACACATAATCAGTAGAGTAGGTGAAAAAAATGCCTATTTTGCACTGTTTTTTTTTTAAATCTACAACTGAAAATTTATTCTTTTAGGCTCCCGAAAACAGAAGTATACGAAAAGGGGTTTCAGGAGTGCTCAAACTGGGCAAATGACTTAACATAAATCAGTAATAATTATTGTTGTCGCTTATTTGATAGGTTGCAACTTATGTAAATTAATGTTTTTAGGAACAAATAAATTGCTATATTTATTATATATATTTTTTTTTAATGAATTAGCTAAAAATATAAATAATCACTTACATATTTAATATATAAATTTAAGTGATTTTGTCTTAATGTAAAATTATTTACAAACCCATAGTAACAATAGAAAAAAAACCGTATAAACTATGGACTATAATAATAGCAGATTAAATAAGTTAAAAAAGTACAATCCAAAAATACATTATCATTCAACCAAAGGGGGAAGACTTGAGTTGTTTTGAGAATCGAGAATAACGCCCTATTTACTTTTGGTAATGGAGATAGTTGAATGAATGAAAATGGTATTGCACATTGTTAAAAATACATTGCAAATAAAGTATCAATTGAGTCAAAATGTTTTAAAAATGTACAGGGCCGGTATTCTCGTTCCCAAATACGCTCACCACTTTCTATTCGCTCGTCACTTTTAATGTAAATTTACATTAGAAGTGCCGAGCGACTAAAAAGCGGAGAGCGTTTTCGAGAACGAGAATACTAGCCCAGGATCTTTCTTCATTTATTGACACTGAAATTTTCAAAATTTGATTTCTGATACAAAGTTGTTTTGAAGTAATTGAGTTTTAGGACCAGGAAGCATTCTAAAAATTTGTACTGGGGATGTCAACCAATGATGAAAGTCCCTGTACAATTAATTTACGAGAGGCAAACGAAATTAAAAACATAATTAGGGCACCCTATAGAAAATTAAAAATTGATACTTAATCTATTTATTTACAAACACTCTACTATCTTTGCACTTTGAAACCTTTAGTTCCATCAGGTCCCCTAGGTGTCCTTATAATATCCGGTTCAATTCTAGCTTTCACCATGGCTATTTTACTAATAGAAAAATCAAATTAATAACAAATCATTTATACATTACATTCAAATAACATTACTTCTCTTCTGTTTTTTCCGAACTAGCTTTGCCCAATATCCTCAGCCTGGCCTCGGCGTATTCTTGTTCGCGCTGCTGCAAAGTCTTCTTAGGCACTGATTTTCGATTATCGTGATTGCTTTGTGCCCCTTTTATGGGTCTTTTTAATATTTTGACCGTCGGCTCGGGAGGCACGTATTGAGATCTTAAGGCATCGTCACCTGTTAAAGTCACTTTGATTGGACCCTTTTCAATGCTACCGTTTATACTAAAATAATAGGGGCAATTGCAACCAATTCTACTTGAAACAAGGGATGGTTTTTTTGGGTGTGTGTGGATTTTTGGGTCTTACCTATTGTTTGCTAAGCTTGGCATTATCAGTTTGAGTTTGTTGAATTTCTCTTCTAAAACCTGAAAAAATTTTACATAACCTCAAACTTTCATTTCATATTCAAAGATAATGTGGAGTATTTGGGTTACATGGGGGCTTTTTAAATACGCATTTCTTACATCAGTCTCTTCGATTTCTTCCCAGTTATCTATTTCTAAATCATTTTCCTGCTGTTTAGCAGCCATGGTCGGACCCATTTGTCATGCACATGTCAAAAATTTTGGATTTTTTCCTTGGGAAAAACGTCAAATCCTCGCTAAAAAATCCATTTTTTGTCCGGCACCGTGGAGCGGACTATATACTTTCGAATTTCATAGTGACTTTCTAGAAATAGTTTTTGGAAATGGGGAAATTTTTAGGAAAAATAAATAATGTTTACTTCTTCCTGTAAAAAATAAAAAGTGAAATTTGATATGACGTATCTTATTATGGCAAGTTTGACAATGACAGTAGTTTAAATTGACAGCATTCGTTTATTCATTTAAAATTTTCTATCTTTGTTTAGTTTATTGATAAAAAAAAAGAAAGCGTCTAAAATCAACACCTTCGCCAAAACGAGGCCAATGATTTCAATATGGCCGCGAAGGGCTATTACAAAACGCAACTTATTTTTTGTGAGAAGACTAATAGCAAAGTATACAGGGTGTTTCCTAATTGAATGTCAGTTTTTAAGCCAATTTAAGGGGGCATTTCAAGAAGAAATCTCCAATATGAACGTATTTGTGAATGTAAACTTTCAAGATACAGGGTAAGAAAGTTTTCAAAAATAAATCATTTAGGCCCCGTTGTACAATCCAGGTCCAAACAGAGGTTGAGTTGAACTCTACTGGTACTTGAACCGTCCCATTTGAAATGCATTGCTGTCAGAAACATGCCAAAGTGTACATTTTTTGACAGCAATGCATTTCAAATGGAAAGGTTCAAGTACCAGTAGAGTTCAACTATAAAAAAATTTTACCTCTGTTTGAGCCTGGATTGTACAACTGGGCCTTACTATCAATAAAATGTCTAACCACATGGGATATTTTAATGACATTTGGCATACATGCATTATTTATCAAGAGGCATTTGCTAATGTACCACTTTTTTTTTCATGTGTAATTAATTCCTTTTGAATTATTACATGAGAGGACATTGTCTCTTTCATAGTATTTAATAACGTTATCAAACGGTATTTGTTGTCTGGTGGGTATATATTTTTCAAAATCAAATTTAATTCATTATGCTGCAGAATCGTATAGTGCATTATGCCTATGTGTGCAAAACTGATAGCGTTTTGTATGTGGCTAATTATCTCGCGTTGTTTACTACTATGCGTATTAATATTTTCTAAAATTAGATTCATCATTAGGATAGTTTGAATATTTTGATTATCCGTCGAAATCAGCCATTTTTGTGCTATACCCATGAAATTGAATACTCCACGTTTAATTCGATCGTGTGAAAATTGTTTTACAAATTTCTTCAATGTATTGATACGTGATTGACTAGTTTCAATATTTACTTGTAATAAAGTAACAATTTCGTCTTTATTAGACCATTTGGTTAGATTTAAGTATTGTTTAAATTCTTTAAAGTTATTTCGAGAGTTTTAATACTGTTTCCAATAAGGGTAGTATTAATGTGATTATTTCACTCATGTGTTAGAAATCCCATAAGATAAGTGACGATTTTAAGAATTACAGCGAAAATTCTCTTTTCCATTTGTTTAACTAGAGAGAATTACAGCGAAAATTCTCCCATGTTATTGTATACATGGTTGTCATGCTAATTTTTGATACAAACAAACGGTTCCTGATAGCAACCATTTATTTGTATTGATTGTTAAGATGCTCAAATCGTTTAATAGGTACATATTTATTTCCATATTTTTTGCATTCTCATACGTGAAATAATCCTGTAAATACCACTTGAGCTTTAAAATAAACCAGATAATTTTTCACTTATGCGTGTTTTCTCTGCAAATTTCACTCGTCCTACGGACTCGTGAAATTATAGAAAACACGCAATCGTGAAAAATTATCGGTAATTTTGAAGCTCTCGTGGTATTATCTCCGATAACATGTAGTGTTATGTTGTGTTTTGATGTAAGTGGTTCCTATAGAAATCGGTAAAATAGGATTTCTTAATGGAGTTAACGTGTAGGCGTTACTGGAAATTCCTATGAGGAGGATGATGAAAGCTGCCAAGAACATTTTGGTTTTTCTGAAACAAAATGTTGTCGCTTTACCATTTGTTTACTTAATGTGACTTGTGTTTTAGCACTATAACTTTTTGCTGATGACACTATATTATCTGTTTCAAGTAAAAATCTAGATGATGCAATAAATCGAATGAACAACTACCTTGACAAAATTTTACTGTACTTTAACACAAATAAGATGAAACTTAACTCAGATAAATCGAAGGCTATGCTTATTACAACGCCCTATAGGCATAAACAAATAAATGTTAATTCATTAAATTTGTATATTAATAATGAAAAAATTGAATTTGTTAGAGAATTTAAATCCTTGGGTTTTATGATTGATGATACTTTATTGTTTAATGCACATTTCCAATATATTTATAGAAAGATATCAAAAAAACTTTACTTTTTCTCCAGAATATCTCAAAAATTATCCATGTCCTCGAAAATTACAGTATAATATAACATTATAATACAACCTCATTTTGATTTTTGTAGCAGCATACTATATGCTTTTGATTTAAACAAAAAAAACAGCTCTACAGAAACTGCAGAATAGAGGAATGAGAGTTATTCTCAAATGCAATAGGTACACTGAAATCCAGCTGATGTTAAATACTCTACAGTGGCTTTCAGTACAAAAAAGAATGTTTCATAATGCTATGATTTTTATTTATAAAATATTGAATAATCTTCTACCACCATATCTTGAGGAATTTGTTGCATTCAGATATGATATACACAATCACTTAACTAGAAGTTATACAAATCGTAGTTTCCACATTCCAAGGTGCAACCTTTCAAGCATGAACAAAGTGCTTTTTTATAAAGGAATAGATGATTACAACAAATTACCTCCTCTTATTAAGGACTCTATAGTTCCATGTATTTAAAAGACGGCTGAGTGAATACATTGTAGCCATGTAATTATTTTTTCATGATTGAATAGTAGGTAGTAACTAAATGTGATTTGGAGAAGGCTGTGTAAGATTTTTGGTTAGATTCTAATTTCCTAATTTTAAGTTATTTGTAAGTTATTTCTGTTTTTGTTAATTTTGTCTTTTAAAAAAATGTTGTTTATATTAGGGTTTCCTATTGAAATTGAATAAATTGATTGATTGAAATAACGAGGACTAATTTTATTTCTGTCAAATTGCTTAATAAAAATAGGATCCTTTAATTCAGGTTCTTTTTCACGTTGCTTATTGATTTTCTCTAAATTCTGTGTTTGTTTTGATATTAATTTGTCATGAATTACATTATGTAGAGTTTCTAATGATTCGGCAAGATTATTAATATAATCTGTGGTTATCTTATATTGTGAATTTTCAATAGGTATGGAATAATTTAAATCGCCTTTAATTGAAAAGGTATATAACATGTAACACTATGTATGCTGTTATTATAATTCAAGATTGCAATTACCATTAAGTCATTAATGTTTTTATTAGAGCTTTGTAATTTCAAACTTGTTAAACTTTCTCTCAGGGTAGAATGTAGTCTTTCTATTGGACTATTCGAATTAGGGTTTCGAGGTGTCGTATAATGGAATTCGATTTTATGTGAAGTACATAAATCTGTTACAATTGCGTTTTTAAATTCAGTTCCGTTATCGGAAGTAATTCTTTGTGGAATTCCATGGTCACTGAAATATCTTATTAATTGTGATGCAATCTCAACTGAAGTTTTGCTAATAATTGGGATAGCTTGTGCAAACTTTGAAAAGCTGTCAATAATTGTTAGGAATTTTTGATTCGAAACTACGTATGTATCAATATAAAAGTGTCCAAAGGGTTTTGAACCGATTGGAGCTGGTTTGAATATTATTAGGGTTGCCTTTCATATTTTGTCTTATTACATATTTTACCTGTTTTGACATATGCCCGTACGTCTTTTCCTAGATTAGGCCAATAATATGGTTTCTTTAAAGATAAAACATTTTCTGTAACTCCGCGATGAGATGTTTTAGTCTCATGGTATAGTCTATCGTTTGACTATCGATAGAGTATATAGTTTAATTTTCTCTTGATGTTCATCAATTTCTGTCTTCGACAAAGGAATTGGAAATACTTAACTTGAACGAATTCGAATTGAATGATGTACTTAGAACTAAGTATAATATAGGTTCTAACGTTTTGTTGTGGAAATACATACAATACGTATTTGGTGGAAGATATTCCTTTATTAATTTAATAATTTGATCCTCTAATGAGTCATTAGGTAAAAAGAATGTTATTCTTGTCTTGTTAGGAAATGGAATAATACTTTTTTTGCGAATAGCATTATTGTTAGAATATCTAAAAATTATTTGATGAGCAAAAAGATTAACATGTTTTTTTGTATAAGGGGCTCCTAAAATAGGGTTTTCAAGGGAAGTGTGAATAGTTTCATCGTCTTCGATTACTTCATTATCTTCTTGCATTAAGTCTTTTTCAAATATATCTGTTTCAATTGGATTTTTCTTCACTCTTTTTGGAGGTATTATTACGTGAGATAAAATTTCAATCTTAGGTTTTATTTTTTCTCTTTGTGGTGAATCTGCTGAACGAGTAGATTCGGACAATGGAATATCTTTATGTTCGTCATTTATTTTAATTTCTTTGCCTTTATTAATAGGTTTCTTTGCTTGTATATGAGGTTTAAAAATTTCAGTATCTTTGAAATATTTTTCAATTATCTCGTCATTATTTAGTGGTGTGTCTTTTAACATTGCTCCTAAAGTTTTATGAAACTTTTCATCAGAATCTGATTCTGTACTTGAATCTGATCTGGAAATAGCATTTAGTTGTAAAGGAGGTCTTGATAATGCATCTGCATTCATATTGAGTGATCCTTTTTTGTATTTGATTTCGTAATCATATTCTGCTAATTTTAATCTCCATCGGACTAATTTAGATCCGGGTTCTTTAATAGAGAATAACCATTGAAGTGGTTTAAGGTCAGATAAAATTGTAAATTTCTGTCCAAATAAGTATGACTTAAAGTATTTAGTTGCCCATACTATGGCTAGTAATTCTTTTTCAATTGTGGAATAATTACATTCCGCAGGGTTTAATGTACGACTCAGGGCCAAATTATGGACCAACTGGTAAGTGTCTGGTTGTTACCTAGCAGGTACTTTCTATTGTCTAGTGCATAGAAAGTACCTGCTAGGTAACAACCAGACGTTTACCAGTCAGTCCATAATTTGGCCCTTACGTAAGCAATTGGTAAATCTGAACCTATTGGTCCTTGTGACAATACAGCGCCAATAGCATAATTTGATGCGTCTGTAGTTAATAAAAATGGTTTATTGAAATCAGGGTGTTGTAAAATAGGATTATTGATTAATAAGTTTTTACAAGTTTCAAAACTTTTTAGAAATTCAGAATCGTGAATTACTTTTTTATCCTTTTTTAAACAAATTATCATTGGTTTTGTAATTTTAGCGAAGTTTTTTATGAACTTTCGATAATATCCTAACAATCCCAGAAATGATTCAATTTCTTTTACGGTTTTTGGGATTGGAAATTTCTTCATTGCTTCGATTTTCTTTGGGTTTGGTTTAATACCATTTGGGGTTATGACATGTCCCAAGAATTCTACTGATTTCTTTAAAAATTCAGATTTGTCTAATTTAATTTTTAGATTTAATTGTTCTAATCTTTCAAATATCTTTTTAAGATTTGTAATATGTTCTTGAAGAGAAGTGGAAAATATAATAATATCATCCATGTAGACTAGACATCCCACTAAATAATGTAATATCGCTTTAATATTTTTGTAACGTTTCTAGATAATATTGTAATATTTCATTTTTTATTGCTTCTATATAAGTGCAAGGATGCTGCAATTACTGAAATGGACTTATTCTAATATTCACAAATGCAATGTTTACAAAATATACTTTTCTGCAATATCGCCTTAATCTTGTATTTTCATAAAAAATACATTATGTTTGTAGCATTTAAAATGCTAGCTTACAGAAATCTGCATTTAACGTTGTTTATAAAGTTAGATAAATATTACAGTTGCAATACATTACAGAAATTTACATAATGAAATATTGTATATATGATAAATATTTAATATGTCGTGAGGATTTGCATTGTTGCAAGATACTTTATTTTTAAATTCCCTTTTCTGCCAGTCCAACTACAGACTGGGGCACAATGGTTAGGTAATAAACTTGCAATTTTCAATTGATCTTATCATACATGCCTCGATTCTTCCAACATAGGTATTGTAAAAAAGCCACCTAAAATTGAAAATTAAACAGTATTAAAAAATCACAAAAAATTAAAATGTTAAAATCTTACATTGGCTTTATCCTTTCCCTCTCCCAACATTTCAAGATCTTGATGAATCCTTTCGTCCTATTCAACTCTCTGTTATTATTGTCAGACCAAGAAAAAATAAGCGTCGTCTGCGTTTTCCGTTCTACTGGTTTTTCAGTTTTTGATGGCGTGGCGTCAACAACTAAAAACAAATGGGTGGTGCGTCTGCGCCGTTCCGAATTTCCAAACAATTGTCCCATCCTTGTTAGTCAAATATATTTTTGCACTGACAGCAGATTGCAAATAAAATATATCTGCAACTTTTATGCAACATTGAGAAAATGTATGTTTCATATTCCAAAGTTAATGTTGAAATATTTATGTAACGTTTTTTATTCTTGAAACGGTTAACGTACGCATGTAAAGATATCTGCAACATTACATCGACAGTTTTAAGAAAAGTTGAGCTTATAATATTTATGCAACCATTTATTTTAATATATTTTTTTAATGTTACAAACGTAAATATTTTCGCAACATTAAAGCGACAGAGTTGAGAAAAGTTACATTCTATAACATTGTTATAATATTTGCTTTACTCACATTTCATAACGTTTCAAATGCAATACATTATTGTATCTACTGCAACATTTAAAGTCTGTTTTTGCTTTTTTGATAATTTCCCAAGTGAAAAATTTAGTAACTATGTTGGTAACACAAGCCTTTTCTACATAAAAAATTTGAAAGCATTGACAATTTTCCATTGTATTGCCAACATAATGTCACTTTGACTTTTATCTTTAAAAAAAAAAACACATTTTACTTAATAACTAAAACAAATGTTTCTCTATCGACGTTATATTAAATTTATATCCCTTTACATTGGATAAGTAATATTTTAGAAAGCTTATCGTCACATTACCTAATAAATTTTCTAAAGCAAGGTCGATACAATATTGCCGACAAATTTTGCAACATCACATGTTTAGTGGGATATTTTGTTTTGTAAACCTATTAGTAGTAGTACGTTGTCCATAACTCTTTGAAATGTGGCAGGGGCATTTTTTAAACCAAAAGGCATACGGTTAAATTCGTAATGTCCATTTTCTACATTGAAAGCTGTTTTGCTTATTGAGTTTGGATGCATTTCAACTTGGTGGAATCCAGAAGCTAAGTCTAGAGTAGTAAAATAATTACTTCTTCCAAGTCTGTCAAGAATGTCTGTTATGTTTGGTAATGGGTATCGATCGTCTATCGTTTTTTTATTGCTTTTTCTATAATCTACGACCATTCGCCATTTCTTTATGCCTGAAGCATCTAACTTTTTAGGTACAATCCAGACAGGGGATGACCACGGACTACATGAGGGTCGAATAATGTTATGTCTTCTAACATTATCTGGATTTGTTTATTCACTTCTTGTTTATGAATATGTGGGTATCTATATGTTTTTGTGTGAACTGGAATTTCGTCTTTGGTCTTAATTTCGTGTTTAACTTGATTTGTGAATGATAATTTATCATTTGGGTTTGTGAAACACTCTAGGAAACGAATTTACAAGTTTTTGTAAAGCTTTTACTTCTTCTGAGTTTAAAAGGTTTAAGGACGTTTTTTTATAAGGTTTCTCTTTATAATCATTGGTATTTTGGGTAATTATCTGTTCTGCGTTAAACAATTGATAATTCTCTTCTTGAAAAGGTTCACATATTTCTTGAATATCATCAATATGACAATTTAATGTGAGGATTTTGTCTTTTAAATTATAAACATCAAGGGGTATTTTACCATTTTTAATTGTATTAATAGTTGATGGAATATAATAAGTTTCATCTTCTACAATGTCATTTATTCTTTTAATTCCGTCTGGAATTCTTGTAAGAAATTCACATTTTTGAACTGTGTTAAGGGGAATTTCGATAGTTTGATTTTCAAAGTCACTTCTAAATTGAAATGGTATGCATGTTTGATCATTTACAAGACACATATTTTCAAAATCGATATTTGTTATCATTGATTCCTATAATTCCCATCGAAATAATCATGAAATGAATACATTAGCATTTCTACTTCATTTATGTCATATTCTTGTAAAATTGGAATTTTAAGTTTTCCTTTAATTATTGTGGTTGTTCCCGTACATGTGGATAGTTAAGATTTTGTATTAGTTATGTACTGATTAAAATATTTTTCAGTTATGAAAGATCTTATTAATGAGGCATGACTTCCGGTATCAATTGATAATTTACAAGGTGGAAATTAAATTTCTATAAAAGGTAATTGATTAATTTGAAATTCATTTAAAGTTAATGCTGATCCGAGGCTTTTAAACAAAAATGTTCGGATTTATCAAAATCTTGTTCATCAGGATTTTCAAAATCTTAATATTCAAATTCACTTTGATTTCCTTGGCTTTCACCAGAGGAAAGGTCAATTTCTTCTTCAAAATCTTCTTCAAAATTTTCATTTTCTGAAAAATCTTGTTCAGCAATAACTGCTGATGCCAGCATTTGCGTTGGCGGAATGGTGGTACTTGCAGTGCAGTACCGCTTAGTAGGCAGTTTTTATTATTATAAGTTTTGACACGGGCGTACGCTTATAATTAACATAGGAAAGGAGAATTATTAGTATAATGATAACATAGGGTCTTACAATATAATTTGCATTTCAGTAAAGATGGAAGGATTGGTTTATCTCAATATTATCTGCATATATCTAATTGATGAATCATCACTGAAGGATCTGTGACTGAAGTAAGAAAAAAAGGGACCAGGGTAATGTAAATTTTCTTTTACTATCTATTTTTATATTCATACCGTCATTCGGCAGTAGGCTATTGTGGAGGAATAAGCTATTAAAAAAATAATAATTATCTAAGCTATGATCATAACAGCACTTCAAATCAGAATTTAATTTTAGAAAAATCATTGGGGCGGCAAGCCTCCGCAAGACAGGAGAGGTAGGGGTTAGGTAATAAACTCATTTGGTTTCTCCGATGTGTATTTGACACTTTTATAATAGAATTCTTTTGTCTAGAGATAGCTAGTCAAAATTACTAGGTAGTTTTAAAAATATGCTTATATTTAAATACCAATATATGAAAAACTAATCGTACGATTTAAGATTTTGCTATAAGACTGTAAAAGGGAAGCAACGAGCTATCCAATGATGCGCAGCACAAGGTAGGTTCGTATTTGCAAAGAGAAAATTCACTGAAGAAACTAGATCATAGATCAAGCTCCAATAATAAGTATCTACGCCCTGAAGAAAACCCAAGAATGTTCTATTTGGAGAAGTCAGTTAACATTAAAAACGAATTGTTTATTTGAAACAAAACAAAAATTAATTCTATTTGACTTTGCTGATCAATTCCTCAGTCACTTTCCACAATTGCTTGGGCAAATCTGGATCCTGTGCGGTTTTGTATCTGCTTATAAAATGACAGTCTTCAAAATGTTCTCCAGTGTAATTTTCAATGCCTTTTTGGACGCTACAATAAATACTTGTTTGGGCACCTTCAAGTGAATTCTGAAAAATGTTTGTGATTAATTAGGACCAAGGCTTAACTTGAATTTAGTTACCTTCATGAACCAACTGATAATTGTCTCGGTCATCATTTTCATAAACGGGGGCATTTTCCTGAATATATCAGTTAAAACTACACCAGGATGAAGGGAATAAGTTGTTACACTAGTGCCCTTTAGTCTATTAGCTAATTCAATGGTAAATAATAAGTTGCACAGTTTACTTCTAGCATAAACTTGAAAATGATTACGATCGTCTTTTCCGAATTTGTTTAATTGGTTGATATCAAAGTCTTTGGCCCACTTCGCTGCCAATGAGGAAACGTTTATTATGCGGGAGTTTTGAGTTTTTTTGAGGAGATCTAAAATTGAATTCAACTTGTTGTACTATAAACTACTTTGTCCAAACATTTGACTAACAACATATAAGGCAATATCCAATAATTTTTATGTAGTAAAATTATTACCTAATAATAAGTTGGTAAGTAAAAAGTGACCAAAATAATTAGTTTGCATTAACAGCAAGAAACCGTTGTCTGCTCTCAAAAATCCTTTTCCTCCCATTCCAGCGTTGTTAAGCAAAATATCCAATCTTTCTTCGGTTTTGTTAACATCTCCAGCAAACTCAGTCACAGACTTGAAACTAGACAAATCAAGTTGTTTAAAAACCACATTCTTATTATCTGTGGCTTTAATGATTTTTTCCACAGCATTTTGGCCTCTTGTTGGGTCTCTGCAGGCCAATATCACCCTAGCTCCGCGTTTTGCAAAGTCTTCAGCTGCTTCGTAACCAATCCCTTGAAAATTTCAAACAAACATCTTCAAGATTAGATTTGACTTGTTATTATCAGATCGCGTGCAATGCAAAGTTCAATTGATACAAAAATCAAAATTCTTACCGGTATTGGCTCCTGTAATAATCGCAGTTTTTCCAATCAAACACACATTGCTCCTGCACCATCCTGTGGTTAATTTTACCCATAACTTAAATGCTAAAACGGCTACAGCGACCCAAAATAAAATACTCAATACGAACCCCATTATTTCAATTACAACTGTATGTGTTATACAAGTTATACCTAATAAGCACAATAACGCTTATCAGCTAATTTAGCTTGAGATAATAAAGTCTTATCCAATTTAAATTCATATAATACTCAAGCATGCACTATCACTATCAGGATAGGACTGTATTAATAAACGTAGAATTTTTTTTTCCTGTGGAAAATTGCCAACATTTCTGTTTATTATTAAACCAATATTGGATAATATGGGCCATAAATATTTATTATTGCAAATTTTTCCTGGATTTGTTTGTTTTGGCTGGATGATCAATAGTTTAGAGTTTGCGTGTATGCCAATAACGATATTTTCCCGCAAATTTCATGATTCTTGAATGGCTATACCAATATAAATTTGTTGAACCATATATTTTTATCTCCAATCCAACCGGAAGAAACACATCTGTATGTGACTCACTAGGTACGATCCTGAATTTTGAATAGGAGTTCCTAATATCCTCTTGTGCCAGTTTCTTCGGCAAATTTTCCCAAATACACCACATTGATTTTTTTTTTCAAAATTCACTTGACCTAGAGGGAATAACCAACGTTTCCAGAATAATCTAACAAAATCCTTATTATCCAAAAATATTCTATAAATAAATATATTCTTAATCCATTTTCCATTTTCAGCCGTTTTCTATCCTTAAGATATAGGCCTCTTTCAAATTTGACCATTGTCTTCGGTTTTGCGCAAACCTCAATTGCTCAGTAACCGTTGAGCAAATTGCATTAAAATTTTCAGCATTTATAACTCTTATTAAGCTCTAAATGGCCTGTGATTTACAATATTCTCAGATTTATAGTTTTTGAGCAAATTGAATTTGGACTGAAAGGCATTTTAGAGGCGCAATTGCCTCAAAACTATTTGAGCTATCAAACTCAATTTTATAGAGAATTTAATGCTCTTTCCAATGGTATATAATTTCTTTCAATTTGCTCAAAATTTACCAAAGATATGGGCAATTGTTCATGACCATGTCAGGATTTTGAAAATCTTCCAGAGCCAAAAATAGGACTCTATTTTTATTTTTGTGTCTGCCTAAAATAGCCATGTGGAATTGATATCAGGGTTGTATTCCACTAATTTTAACCCGATTTGAAAAAAAAATAAAATTATACCAATTTTTTTTTTTTTAATTTTCAAAGCGACCTAACTCGAAAACAAAAAGCTCGGGAGAAAAACTTCAAATACAAAACTTGTAGATCTCATCAAATACTACAAAAAAGCTTATAAGAAGTATCCCTCCACGGGGCACAGTTTTCGAGAAAATCGACCTTGAAAATTTCAACAAAATTACAAAGAATTTCAACTTTGACGGCTGATATCCCAAAGATGAAAACGGCCTAGAATCTCAATAAAAAAACATTTTGTAGGTAATTTCATCCTTTTTCAAAAGAGATATGACTCGAAACGATCGGTTAAGAAATAGCGGAAAAAGTGGCCTCGTGTCGGGTACCCACAATTTTTTTCTGATCAATAGTGGTGCCGTAAGACGAGACTAGACGAGACTTAGGGTTGGTCTCGTCTCGTCTCGACATCTCGAGACGAGACCGTGACTTAGTCTTGGTCTCGAGTACCAAAGTCTCGTCTCGTCTCGAGTGGTCTCGTCTGGTCTCGAGTTATACAGGGTGTCCATAAAATAGCGTAAAAACTCTTCTCTACGTGGTAGGGGACCCTACAAGGAACCCCAGGAAAATATTTGAAAAAATCTAGTGGCATTTTTAAGAAAGTTATTTGGATTTTAATATTTATTAAAATAGGCAACACTGAAAATATCCCGTTGACAATATGTCAGAGAATTAATTTAAATACCCATGTAATTGCCTAAAGAATTCGAAGGTGAATTTTCACATCTACCTCTTCATATTACCAAGAATAATGCTGGAGAAGGATTTTTTTAATTTAATTATTTTTCTAGGGTTTCTCAAAGGGTCCCCTACTACGTGGGGAGTTTTTACGCTATTTTTCGGACACCTTGTATTTATGGTTTTTATTTTTATATTATAACGGAAGTCCAAACTGCCACAGTGAAAAAGCAATTATTGAAAAATCACAGTAAAGAGTAACCGTGATATTTAATTTACTGATTTCATATTCAAATAGCCCAGAATAGTCCAATAATAAAGCTATGAAAGAAAAATTTTAAGTGTAATCTCGAGACTCGAGACTACACGAGACTCTCGCCTAGTCTGGTCTCTTCTCGTCGATACTTCACGAGACGAGACCAAAAACCCGAAAAGTCGGAAACTCGGAAAAAAAATATTCAAAATCAAGAAAGATGGGGAGGCTAACTTTTTTCCGGTACATCAAAAAGAACTGAAACTCGGAATATCAACTAAAAATCACATTTTGAATATTCCCGATTTTTGATTGGCTCCAAATTATCCACTGACCAATAGAATAATAGACTGAGCCCCGTGATTAAAATAACTTTAGCCCTTTGGGCTCGCGTATAACTCCAACTAACTGCGTACAGCGCAGGTAGCAAGAACCCGCACTGGAACTACTAGAAGAGGCAATCCAATAAGATTACTAAAAAGTATGCGTTCAAAGTTACCTAGTTTTCAGTGGGACTTTGAACAACGTCCCTGGTGGTACGCTACCGCAGTACAGAAAAGCCTTTACTAGTGGTAAAATAAAGTCTCCCTGACCCAACCGTCGCAACCAGATGGCGGTGGTAACACCCTTAGTAATTACCTAGAAGGAAGACTCTTTACTGTCAAATGAATTTTCAATTTTTTGGGGGAAACTTAGCCTACCCTGCCTCCTCTGACGAGCCGCCACTGCTTCGAACGTTCTACAGAAACGTTCATAAGACTTTCTAGGATGTTCTAGGGACTTTAAAGGGTTGTTTTAGGGGCAACTGTTAAAGACCCACACATGTAAATTCCAAGCTAAAATCCTGGTTCAGTTGAAGTTAGTTCACACTAGAACCTTCTCATTTATAACGCATTTTTGTCAATCAATTGAAATTTTGAACGCAATGCATTTTAAATGGAAGATCCAAGTGTTAACTAGGTTCCTTCGAACAAGGATTTGAACATATTAATGTTGGCTTCGAACGTTTGATAAACTTCAACTCTCAAATGGTCAAAATTCAAAGTTTTTCTGTTCATCGATCGCTATTTTCACATTGGAGGTGCGCCGGGAATAAATCGCTCATACTTTTTTAGTTCAAGCTTAGCTCTATTGGAACAGAGAATGAGTTTTTCACTCATTTTCATTTCGATTTTAGCTCTTTGGAAGTCCATCTGAACACCTCTAGATCAACTTTAATTCTCAAATGGTCAAAAATCAAAGTTCTATAGGTACATCTCTGGTTCAACTTTTGGCATCATGAGCAACGGAGAATGGGATTTTTATGCTTTTCTTGGTCAAAAATAAAAATTTTACATTTATCGAGTCATTCAATTTTTGATATTAGGAGCGCCGGGAATAAAATTTGTATGCCTTTCTTATTCAAATTTCAACTTTAGTAGAACCTTAGCTCTGCGAGAGAAACATTAGTTTTTTGAATATCTAGATCGAGAAGTTTTTCACCTAACAAAATTTGTACACCGATTAGCAGTACTAATTGAGATATTTCCATGTATTAACAGATATTTCTTTGTACCTAATAACAAATTATTGTCAACTATTTCCATGTTGAGGAAAACCACCTATTTAAAATATTATTTCTTTGAATCTTAACTCTTAAAAAAAAAACGTTTACTGAATAAAAATAAATGTTGCAACCTTGTATGCGCCGTCAAGCGTACTGAAAGGGTACCGAACCGAACATGAGATAGAGAAGAGGCGATTAGGCATTAGGGAAACTAGAGAAGAAGGCAAGCTGGCCGTCCCTAGACGCGTGTCTGTAATTATTCATTATTCAATTTTTATGTTTGTTTATGACATTTTTCATAACATGTGCATTGTTCATGTATTTAATAAAAATCGTTTCATGCTGTAAACAACACAGATAAAGAAGTAAATTAAAAACCTAAGAAATTATGTGCTAGGATTTTGATTTTTGGATTCAGAACGCGCATTAGGGCCTTGTTGAATTTACTAACATTTTCCTACCCTGACCAGAGAATATCCTAACAAATTGAAATAATCACTCTAGAGATATTGGCTCAAAAACGACTATAGCTGAGTAGCTTCCCGTATGGGACCTCAGTGCCTGCTGGAAAACTGGCTAACTAACCAAAAACTCTTCAGTATTAAATATAGGTAGTATTGATTGATAGTGTGTGTAATTGAAATTTTAGCACAAAAACGGGGGCGGTACCTAATTTAAACTTTAATTGACTTAAATTATTGAATTAATGACTCACAATTATTATTAAAATGACACAGAATGTTTCGATTTTTGAGGAATGTAGATCGAGGGTTTCTCTGCCGTGCTCTTTCCCCTCGTTAGTTCCAGGATGAGAACGGTACGATTTACTTTGATATAGAAGTAGACGTTTCACAAATTTTTCGTTTCTTTTACATGTCACCACTTCCCTTAAATTTCCCAAATAGTTGCTATGTCGGGCGCATGCCCAGTAAGTAAAATTGAGTAAGTTTCCACATAGGTCCTAATAATATGTCTGCCCAGAGATTCTATGTCTACGGGGCAACGGTAAGGGGAATGCAGTTGTAAATAAAAATGGCTGATTTCATTCATAAAATACCCAGCTGCGTGCGGAACTTTTTAGAAGTGTTATCGTATTGCAACTCGTACACGAAAATCAACAATGACCAAACCGCCGCCACTGGATATTTCAATATAAATCGATATTCCAAGATGGGAGGATAATAGCGAGACGTAAGGTGACGTTAGTCCACTGACAACCGCATGGTTTCCCGTGGCAACGACGATCCTGCCAAAAACTCCACCAATCAAGTGCATCCAGGCGGGATCCTTGCCAAATTGTCAAAAGCTGATGGATTCTTTTCGAAATGTTTATTTTTTACAATAGACAAAATTGAAGAAATCAGTTATTAAAATGAGCATAGATCTAACAACCACGTTGAAATATTTAGCGTTTTATTGTTATCTACATTTTGTTATTAAAAAATTTATTTAAAAATGAACTATACTTTATGCCTAGTATTTTCGCTT